TAATTTTGAGAATTTTTAATTACAGTTTAAAAATTTTTTTAAAAATTTTTCCTCATAATTTTCTTTTTTTAGATTTTTGATAATATTGCAGTCTCCTCTGGTTCAAGCAACGATGATTTTGATAAAATACGTCAAGTTTTGGAAGCTGTTCCCGAATTAAAATATATTTGTTTGGATGTTGCTAATGGTTATTTTTGTTGGATAATTTTATTAATTTTTTAAATTAATTAATTTAAAGGTTATAGCGAAACTTTTGTTGATATTATTCGACGTGTTCGCGAACAATTTGCAAATCATACAATTTTTGCTGGAAATGTGGTTTGTAATTTTGTATTAGAATATTTTTTACAAATTCTGATTCCTATTTAAATCGGAATTTCTATTTAAATTTCTTTTAGGATCAGAATTTGTAATTGTAAAATACCAAAATTGTAAGGGAACAGAATTACAAATTCTGATTTCTTTTATTTTTAAAATTTCTGTTTTAATTAAATATTGTTAATAGTTTTTACAAATTCTGATTCCTTTTTAAATCAGAATTTACAAATTCTGAATTCTTTTTAAGATCAGAATTTGTAATTGTAAGAAAACAAAATTATAAGGCACAGAACTACAAATTCTAATTTAAAAAGAAATCAGAATTTGTAAATTCTGATTTTTATTTTTTTACTAATTCTGATTTTAAAATTTTTGTTTTTACAATTTCTTTTTTAATTAAATATTGTTACTAGTTTTTGCAAATTTTGATTCCCATTTAAATCAGAATTTGTAATTGTAAAAAAATAAAAGTCAAGGGAACAAAATTACAAATTCTGATTTTATTTATTCATTAGGTAACAGCAGAAATGGTTGAACAATTAATTCTGACGGGTGCTGATTTAGTTAAAGTAGGAATTGGCCCCGGGAGTGTTTGTACAACTCGAAGCAAGGCGGGTGTTGGCTATCCACAATTTAGCGCTGTTTTGGAATGCTCAGATGCCGCCCATGGTTTAGGCGGGCATATAATTAGTGATGGGGGGTGTACCTGTCCAGGTGATGTGGCCAAAGCTTTTGGAGCTGGAGCTGATTTTGTTATGGTTATTTTTGTGATTTTTTGATAAAAAATATTTTTTAATTTAAATTAGTTGGGTGGATTGCTTGCTGGACATGATCAATCTGGTGGAGAAATAATTGAAAAGAATGGGAAAAAGGTTAACGAAATTCTGATTTTTATTTTTTCAATTTCTGATTTTCTTTGGATTTTTTTTTCAAAATTCTGATTTTTTTATGAACTAGGATTTTTAGTTCTGACAATGAGTTTTAGGATTTTGATTTTTTTATTTTATTTTCGGTTCTGAATTCAGAATTTTGGTATGAAATGAAATTCTGATTTTTTTTTAATTTTAAAATTCTGATTTTCTTTGGATTTCAGAATTAATTTTGATTTTTGATTCTGAATTCAGATTTTTTCAGAATTCTGATTGAATTCTGAAATAAAATTTAAATTTTTCAGTTCAAACTCTTCTATGGAATGGCTTCAAGTACGGCAATGAAAAAACACCATAGCACTGTTGTTGCTGATTATAGAGCTTCTGAAGGGAAAACGATCTCAATTCCATATAGGTAATCTCAATTCCATATTTTTGTTAAATTCTGATTTTTACAAAATTATAGAGGAGATGTTATGGCAACAATAAAGGATATTTTGGGAGGATTGAGATCTGCGTAAGTATTTTTTTAACTCAAAATTAAATAAAAATGAAAAGGAATCAAGTTTTACTCTCAATTTTCCACTTGAGAAGGGAGTTAAAATTTAACCCTCCTCCCTTTCTTTTTTCTCCAAGTTATAGTGCCAAAATCGTGCTGAAACCGTTAGCAGGTCTATATCTTATTCAGAATCGTCGAACCCGAGACGCCTTGGTATGGTTCGATGCGACTCGACGAGCTGAATTGAACCGTACTAGGTCGTCTTGGATTGACTGAAACTATACTTTAGGATTATATTTAAGAGCTTTAAGCTTATCAGCTATTCAAACCAGGGGCCTATTTCAATTGTCCGCAGATTCTGCATTCTGTGCACAGAACACAGATTCTGCGGAAATTCTGTTTCAATTAAATTCTGTGTGCACAGAATCTGTGGTGCCCGCAGATTCTGCGAAATCAACCACTGATTCTGTGGAAACATTCCGCAGATTCTGTGGATGAAAATTTCTGTGGAAAATATAGAAATCTGTGGATTTTTTCCACTGATCCACAGAATTTCTATTTCAATTATTTTCCTGTGGTTCTGTGTATTTTTCCTTCTAAATTCAAACTTTTTATTTCCGCGTTTTTGAAAATAAAGTGTTATTGAAACGAAAAATGGTTAGGACAGTTCGGTACTACTGCAGTATTAATGGTACCTGATTTTTTGAAGAAAAACTTTAAAAATTCTTAAATTAAACTGAAAAATATTGTAAAAATTTAAAAATTTTCCCTCCAAATCACATAAAATCCATTTAAATCTTTTAGATATCACTTTAAAACCGCTGATATACCGCTTAATTTTCTGGTTCATCCAATATCCTTAAATCCCCAATTAAATTAATGTTTCGGATCGGAAAAATCAGGAGATGGAAAAGTCAGGAGACTACGATAGATGTTGTTGCAAGGGAGGGAAATGTTACAAAACTGGGGATTGTTTAGTCAGAAATTGAGGTTCCTGGAAATCGAAAATGCCTGGAATCCAAAATTTCAGTCATCGGAACTTGAAAATCGTAGAGGAGGGATTAAGTGGGATATCCATTGATTTTGAGGTTTAATATATTGGAGGGATTAAGGAGGAAATCTATCATTAAATAGGAGGAGAGATTATGACGGATATCAATGAGAGATCATAGGAGATATCCCAGGCTAGATATCCTCAAGAGATCCCGGGGAAAAATCCCCTCATTAGAGATATCCATGATGATTAGAACATCATAGCTCTAAATTTCAGAATCTCTCGCGTTTTTTTATTTTTTTATTGCTTGGATATAACAAAAAATGCTAAAAAATGATGTACCTTTTTCAAAATTAATTTTAAGTAATAATTTTAAGTAACAAAATTATAATTTTTATATCGAAAAATAGAGAATGAATCAAACTCTAATAATCTTTAAAAATTCTAAAATTTGGTTAAGCCTAGGCCTAGAAAAAAATTTTTAAAGTTTTTCCGTAAAAAATTCGCAGAAAAAATTTTAGGGTGGATTTTTTAATGAATTCTGTGTATTTTCCGCAGACCACAGAAATAATTGAAACAGAAATGCACAGAATCGACTAAAAAAGCCACAGATCTGTGGATTTTTTTCTGTGCACAGAAAAATAATTGAAATAGAATTCTGTGGTTTTTGCATGTTTTTGGATGTTTTGCAGAATCTGTGGATGTTTCCACAGATTCTGTGCATGTTTCCACAGAATCTGCGGACTCCTTTTTCCGCAGAATCTGTGGAATAATTGAAACAGAATTTCTGTGGTTCTGCGGTCTGTGCACAGAACGCAGACCACAGAATCTGTGGACAATTGAAATAGGGCCCAGTTAGACTCAAACCTGGGATGTAATAATGATTAAAAATTAAAATAATTAAAAAAAATTTTTTTAAAAAGAAAATTTGAAAATTTTTTTAAGGTGTACTTATGTTGGTGCTCCAAAAATTAAAGAACTTTCTAAACGTGCTACTTTTGTTCAGGCAAGTTTTTTTTCTTGGAGAGAGAGGGAGGGGAGTGTAATTTTATAAAAAGAATTTGTCTTTCAGGTTCGTCAAACAACAAATGAGGTATTTACCCGTTTTGAGGTTTAAAACAATTTAATGCTTAATAGTTGAATTTTCTCTTAATATTTTTTTAAATAATATTCCCATAACATTTGTTGTTATTTGTTGGCTTTATTGCATTTCTGTTTTTGTTTAATAATTTTTTGTTTTTAAATAATAATTTTTTTGAAGATCATAACTATTTTTTTAGTAAGCTTAACACTACCCGAATTACAAATCTTATTAAAATTTGATAAATTTTTTGAAAAAATTTTTTATGAAAAAATTTCAAAAAAATTTTTAAAAATTTTTCTAAATTAAAAATTTTTTAAAATTTTTTAAAGTACGTTTCTCGTTGCGCTTCAAAAAATTAAAAGCCATTAAAAGAATTTTTTAAAACCCATCTTCTAGCTTCCAAAAAAGTCTTTTTAAATTTTTAATAAAAACCCTTAAAAATTTCTGAAATTTTTAGTAAAAATTTTTCTTAAATTTTCTCTAAGCAAATCAAGAAAGAAAACATTTTTACAATTTTAAGCAATTTCTGAATAAAAATAATATAATTTTTTGTAAGGGTGTTTAGGCACAAAGAGAGATTGAATATATTTTTATTTTTTAATTCAAATATAAAATATGAGAGGGGGAAGAATAAAAATATAAAATTTATTTGGGGGGAAAGATTTAAGGAGAAGGCCGGACTGTTAAAATATTTTTTTAGAAAGCGAAGGAAACGGGAAACAATTTTAAGAAGAAATTAAAAATTAATTATTTAATTTATTTTCTTTTTAATTTTATAACCCGTCTAGCTGCCTCGCTGTAAATAAACAGTCTGGCTCTTTCCCGTTGCGCTTCAAAAAATTAAAATCCATTGCAAAATGAAAACAATTGACAAAAATATTTTTTTCCCTGAAAATTTTGAATTTTTTTTTTGAATTTTTTGGAAATTTTTTGAAAAATTTTTTTCGGCCTCCGAAAAAAATTTTTTAGGCCTCCAAAAAAATTTTTTTTAATTTAATTTTAAAAATCCCCTACCATATCAATATTTGCTCCATCCATTTCATTCTCTCAAATAAATTTAACCCTCAACCACAGGCTCAGCTGGAGCTGCTGGTTCTGCATCAGGAACAGCTTCAGCAGGTGCTGCTTCTAAATCAATTTTATTTTACGATGGAAGATCAAAAACTACCAGGAGCGGCTTCTGGGGCAGCAGGTGCTTCTGGAGCTGCTTCAGATGCTGGGGCTTCTGCGAGTGCTTCAGGAGCGGCTTCTGGAGCAGCAGGAGCCTCCTTTAATTTTCAAAAATCGTTTAGATTTAGTAAAAAAAAATGCCTCAGATGGGGGTGCCTCTGCTGGTGGTGCAGCAACTTCAGGAGCGGGCGCCTCAGCTGGTGGAGCTTCCGCTTCTGCAGAGGGAGCAGGTGGAGGAGCTTCCGCTTCTGCTACAGGGGCTTCTGCTGGTGGTGGAACCTCAGCTGGGCATTCAGCTGGAGGTGCTTCTGGAGCAGGAGCTTCCTCTACTAAAAATTCGATTTTGAAAGTGCCCTGAGGCAATATTATTCACCTGGAGCAGCTTCAGGCGCTGGAGGGGCTGCAGCCTCTTCTGGGGCTGGTGGTGCTGCTTCAGTTACTAAATACACAAAATTTGATTATTTTTTGGAAAAGAAATTCTACCAGGCGCCTCTTGTGGCGGTGGCACAGCTTCCTCAACAGGAGGTGCAGCTGGTGCTTCTTCAACTGGTGGAGCTGCTTCTGGGGCAGGTTCTGCTGGTGGAGGAGCAGCCTCTTCCAATGATAACTTTTCTACTTCAGCTGCAGGAGGGGCATCAGCGGGAGCTTCTGCTGGTGCGGCTTCAGCGACGGGAGCCTCGACAGGAGCCTCAGCTGGGGCAGGGGCTTCGGCTACTGGTGCTTCAGCTGGAGCCTCTGCAGGAGGCGCTTCAACTACTGGAGCTGGCTCTTCAGCTGGAGGAGCTTCAGCCTTTAATATTAAAATGTCACCTCTGCTCATTTAATCAAAATAAAAATTACCGGAGGAGCTTCTTGTGGCGGCTGTTCTTCAACCGGCGGCTGTTGTTCTTGCCCTGGCGCGTTACCTTGATCATTCTCTGCTGACATTGCTGCTGCGGAGGAGGAACCTTTTTTCTGGCCTGGTGTTTTGCTCTGGCACTTGGAGCACTTTGAGATTAAAGAGCCAATTGTGGCGGGTTTTTATTTGTCTAAACGAGAGATTTATTGTTATTATTTGGGGTTGGGAAAGGTTAAAGGGGAGAGGTTAATCTGTTAAAATCAATTTTCGCGTTCTATTAAAGCCTATTTATCATAAACAAATTAATGATTGAAAAGGAAGAAAAAATAAAAATTTTTAAAAAGGGAGAGATGCTTCTAATCTCTCTTTAAAGGGAAAGAATGCCGACTTTAACGAAGGGAAATAAGCTCTTTAAAGTTTTAGAGCTTTTCTTTTCCTCCTATAAAACAGACACACTTCCCCGCCTTTCTCTCAAAAAAGGAGAGAGAGGGGCGGATTTGAGAGCTCCGTCCCGCCTACTTTTGACGGATAATAAAGAGGAGATCAAGTGTTTTAAACAACTGTTATAATTGAAAATATTGAAGAGAACACATTTTTAAAATAAAAAAAGGGAAGGGGAAGCATTGGAGGGTAAAATTGAGTGAGGTGTGTGTTCATTTAAAATGGGTGCGGATCAAGCTCAATTTTAATGAATATTTTATTTTTCGATTTTTTTTATAAAAATATCAGTTGTCAGGACTGAGATTCATGTGAAAAAAAAATTAAAAAAAAATTTTTTAAGAGAAAAAAATAAAAATAAAACGATAAATCTGTCATGGGTTAAAGTCATCTTTCCCCACTAGTACAAGGTAAATGTTCCTCCTGTCAGCTGGTTATTTTTTCTCCTATTTTCTCTTTTCTCCCCCTTTTCTCTCCTATTTTCTTTTAAATCCAGGGCATTTGTTATTCACGTCCCGATCGTTTAAAAAAGTGAACGGGGCAAATCCCCCTCTGTTTTTCTGTTAGAAAAAGGCCTATAATGATAAATAGCTTAGATAAAAATCTGTCCAGCTACTAGCTACCCAAGCTGCCTGGATCTCTATAAAATGACAGAGAAAAGGAAAAGAATAAAGCATTCTTTTTTCTATTTTGAAATCAAGAAAGTAAAACTTTATTTTAAAAATATACAGGCGGGGGCGATTCAATGATAGGAGAGGCCGTAGTGTTTTTGTAATTTCAATCTTGGGAAAGAGGGTTGTGTGTAAAAAAAGTTTTTTATTGCAAAGATCGGTTAAATATAACCGATTCCAAAAGCCGAATATAACCGATTACAAAAGATTGAATAATTCCAAAAAAAAATTTTTTTCTGCTCCACGATCTTCCCGACGGTTTTAAAATTTTAAAAAACCCCAAAGTTGTTGACAGCCCATATTAGAGTTGGCCCCCCACACCGATTCCTCTCCCAACTATGATTTTTAGGTCATCCCCGACTGTCATTCCCTGACATCCCCGTTCCCCATAAAGTTCTCTCTGATCGGAAAACCAACCCTTGCTCTTATACATGGTCCCGATTCTTAGCTTTAGACTTTTTTAAAAATAATTTTTTTAGCCAAGGAATGGGGTTGATTTTTTAAAATCACTACATACTGATTGCTCTTTAGCTTAAACTAAAAAGAATATATAAAAATAAAAATCAGTGATTGAGTAGGCGGTAGATGATTGAAAAGAACGGAGAAAGAATATTTTAAAATACTTTGGTGGTTGCAAATATCATTTTTATAAATTTTTCTTTCTCAATTTTTAACCTGTGACACATAAAATGAGAAAAAAAACTACTTAAAATAAATACATATTTTTTTTTTAATTTAACTACTAGTTAATATTTGATCAGCTGAATTTTTCTAAATATTTTTTTTTTCTAAAAATAAATTTTATTTTCTCATTTTTTTCTCTTTTAAAAAATAAATGAGTAGACTTTTTAAAATTATATACGTATATTAAATTTAATTTTTTAAGAGAAAAAAAATTAGACGGGGAAAGCAATCTTGCTTAGCCCACCTGAAAGAGAATTGTTTGGGCTACAAAATGAATATAAAACCGTTAAAAAATGTTAATGAGAAAAAAAGTTATAGCGAAATTAAAGTGTCCTAAAAATTTTCTTGTCACCCTATACGTATATTAAAAATTTAATTTTTTAAGAGGAAAAATAGAGGGGGAAAATATTTTAGGCTACTTAGGAGGGGGTTTTAACGATTATATATTTGATTGAGCTATTTATACCCTAAATTTAAAAATTATTTTTTCTTAAATTGTTTCTTGTGATATGTCTGGAATTTGTGTAACCCAATCTTTTTTTGTCTGAACTAAAAATAGGAATTTTTAAATTGGCCAAAAAATGAACTAAATGATTTTTTTGAATGAATCATTCAAGTCGGCCCAATAAATCACCCTCATTTTTAAAAATATAAGAAAAAATTTTTTTATCGGAGTTGGTAGGAATCGAAGATTGCGGACAAGGGAAGGATTGGAGTAACCGAACCCCCGACTTTTTTTAACCCAAATTCCTGTCTCTAACTTAATTCTGTGTATTTTTAAGATTGCAAGGTGGAAAAAATAAATTTTTTGGAAGGTGGAAAAAATAAAAATTAAATTTTGTTTGAGTTATCTTTCCTCCCTTCTAAAATAAAGAAATAAAATTTTTTTCTTCGTTAGAATAAATGTTTCATAAAATTATTTGTCAAAAAAACATTCCTGTATTTTAACTAGTATTTTTTTAACCAAACAATAAATTCTTTAAATTATAATACCCTTATAAAAATAATTTTTATTTATTTTCTTATTTTACATAATATTTAAACATTTTTTAACATTTTTAGAGCTTAGAAAAATTAAAAAAAAATTATTCATAAAATAAATTTTTAAAAAATAGAGGGAGAAGATAGAGAAAAGTGTTAATGAGTATATAGAAGTGTGTAGGGTGTGATTTATAAGTAGTATATACTCCAGTTTTATAACACTTTTTGAAAAAAAAGTGTTATAAAACCAGAGTATATTTTTGCAAAAATTTAGTTTTTAAAAAGGGTAATATGAAATAGAAATTTAAAAAAATTTTTAAATCCTACACCTATACGACTAACTCTAAATTTTCAGATTTACTTTTCAATTTTAACTCATCAAAATTTTTTAATTCTTAAACATTTTTACCAAAAAATTTAATTTTCATTGAGCGCACAATAATTAAAGTCAAAAAATAGTTTTTGACAATTTTTACGCGCAAACGCTAATTACCCGCAAATAGAGAAAAGTTTGTGAAAGAATAAAAAAATTTTTAAAAATAAACGATTTTACATTTTTTCGATAGGTAATTATCTAAAAAATCTTTTGTGTATTTTTATGTAAAAATAATATTTTTTCACTATTAATTGAAATTTAAAGATATTTCATTTTTTTTTCGAAAAACTTTAAAAATAATACTAAAACGTAATAAAATTTGCTAAAATTATTTTTTATATATAATTAAAAACTATATCCATATAACATTACCAAAAGATTTTTTGTATTTTAAAAAATATTTTAATTTTTATTTTCAATCATTTTTCTTTTATATAATTTTACAAAAAAATTTTTATTCTATTGAGCGCAGTAACTATTTACCCAAAAAATAAATCGGAAGTTTCTTTCTAAAAAGGACGAAACAATTATCAAAAAAATTATGTTTCATTTTTAACAATGAAACTATTTTTACTGCGCGAAGCAATTACAAATATTCTTGTAAAGAAAGTTTTACTGCGCAAAGCAATTGCAAAAAATTCTCTTAAAGAAAGTTTTAGTGCGCGACGCAATTATCCAAAAATTGATGTTTTACAAAAAACAAATTTTATTACTAAAAAATCTAAATTTTTGTGCTTTTATATTTGCGAAATTTTATAAAAATGTTTTTAGTTAAGTTAAAAATTATAAATATATATACATCGATTTATAAACATTTAAAGATTTTTCAAAGTGTGTTAAAAGTTGTAATTACACGTACACTTGAGATTTTCAAGACTTTTGGTCTTGCGTCTTGACTTATGACTTTTCTTGGGTTTTTCCGGTCTTGGTCTTGGGGTGAAGTCTTGTTCTTGAGTCTTGGAAAATTTTCAATCTTGTAAATCTAATACACACGCATAATACAATTTTATTGGCAAAAAATTAAAGAATTTTATAAACCAAACCTATAGGTTTATATTGTGATTTATTAAACATTTAAAAAATGAGGGGGGTGAAACATTGATTTTTAATCTTTTTTTGAGATTTTATATTTTTATTATTTTTTTTTGAGATTTTATATTTTTATTAGTTTTTTTGAGATTTTATATATTTTTTTGTATTTTTTATGTATATACACGAGTAGGGTTCATATTTTATATAGGAATTAGTTTCCGACCTAAAAACAATGTTAATTTTGCTGATTCAATGACAAATGATTTTACAGCAACAACAATATCTGAGCATGTCTCTTTTACAAATAACCAAGCTGAAGAAAACACACTTGGTTCGTGATACACTACTGTAAATGTTGGTTTGTATACCTGTTTCCATTCTTTCTTTTCCTCATCGTAAATAAACCATACATGACCAGTCGGGGTCCAAGTTATATTTGTAAAATTTGGTTGAGGGGGTAAATGTAAAACATGTTGGAAGGTGCTGGGTTTGGGCGTTCTTCGAAATAATGATACTTTAGCTTCCTCGACTTTCCATATTCTTCGATATTCACAGTACACATACCCAAATATAAAAATAAAAATAATTTTATTAAACATTTTTTATTAACAATATAACGAATAATTATCACTTATATATTTTCATAAATTTTCTGATTGTTCAACTGCTTCCAATACATCTATACATTCAATTGGGTAAAAATATTGATGTCTTCTTCCTCCAGCAACACAAATAAGTGGTAATTGTGGATACGCAAGATCAATTCGGTGTCGAACATAGAAATATTGTCTTATTGTAACACGTAAGTATCCACGTAGAGCAAATATATGATCAGCCCCCATCTTCGTTAACTTGCACGGATATATTTCCATCTGTTGGTGCTTTAGATGATTTGTAATTAGAGCTTTCTTTCTAGGTTCAGTAAAATTCCTTTGACCAATCCCAGATATAGCAACATCTTCATTAGTCATGCTTGTAAGAGTTTGCAAGTAATTGATATTTTCATTATATTTTTTTCGTAGTTCGCGATGAAGTGATTCCGGGGCACATCCTCCATTGAAACGACAAAGTATTTGAATAAGTGGTGTTAATTGAACGTGAGGTGAAGAACTAATAGATTCAGGCATGTTGTCGCTAGTACGCATGGCAAACTATTTAGAATAAAAAATATTGCTCTTATATACTAAGAGGGCCTTTGGCAAATCGAATACTTGTCATCCCATCATTTCCTTTTTTACGAATATTTGTATGTAGTCTAAATAATACAGCCAGGACAAATAATAAACCCAAATCCAAAATATAAGCTAAGACAAGCAGTATATCTTTGTTTGGAGATATAGCAGGACCAATAGAAAGGGCATGTCCTCCGTCAATCGCAAAACAAGCATTTACATTTGGAGGAATCGGGCCGTGCAATGGAAATAGGATATTACTGTCATTTTGAGATAATATCACACAAACAAATGAAAATAATATTAAAATTGATAATTTCATTTTAGTAATTAAATTACAATATTAACCCTTATCTTATATACGAAAGGTGCTGAATGAATCGTCTTAATAAAGCGTCACGGGCTTCTGGGGGAATTGAATGCAATTTTTGTAGTGTTGATGAAAAATTATTCTTTGAACGCAATATTAAAAAATAAATACAATAATGGCCACAGGTATCTGATAGAGGGGATTGCAAAGGAAATTTATTTTGTTTTACTTTTGAAAAATTACCAAGCATAGATTGTCTCATGTCACAATTCGGTTCATCTGCAAAAGAGTCAAAGTATTCCACAGTACTCGGATTATCAGAATAACAAGCAACCCAATGTTCACCAACCGTCCCTTTACGCATATTATTTACAATAAAACAAAAAGGCTTAGTCCATTTTTTATTTGGGATATTGTCAGAAGAAAAGACACCAATAAACTTATTTTTTAGAGGTTTATATTTTTTAAGTAGATTTTCGATTTGGAGAGAATTCATTTTAAACAGAACCATCAGTGCTCAGCACACGATCTGCATTTATGGACATTATTGCATCGAATTCGCCCATGATTATCATTTCATATCCCTCATCCTTTACAGGCTGATTGAACATACAACGAACAGTTGTTGTTCCTTGTCTAATGAGTTCCAGCCCATTGGTATCCTCAAGCGTTGAAGTCATAGGTATAACAAAGAAACAAGACGATTGCGCAAATTCTTTCATTCCTATGCTTAAAGTTCTTTGATCTGAATTTGGCCAAGCATCTAAGTCCATACCTACATACATATCAACAAAAGCACGTACAAAGCTGTCGTTGGAAAAATCAAGCTCATAAGGAACAGCTGGAAACTGGAACCCACCAAATTCTGCTGAAACAGTTCGCAAATTCGCATGCTCAAAATTGAACGGAGACAACGCAGTATTTCCAGTATATGCAGGTGCGCTTACAAAACAAATCACTAACCGTCTAGGACATGTACTAGTGAACGCAGCATGTGTAATTTCCTGGCGACCTTTTCCAAGAAAAACGCTCCGAATTTCAATCTTTCTATATGCATATTTTGCAGGCGTCTGTTCTAAATGTCTAGCAATAGCATTATTTAGCGACATACTTAAATCAACTTGTTTAACAAAAATTCTCATATCATGAAGTCGTAGGCGGTATGTGCTTGTATTATTTAATAAATCTTCACCAGCTTTTTTACGATATTTTGGTGCATGAATAAGGAATTCATCGCTATTTCTGTAAAATGTCCAGAGCACATCACTATTAGGTATTAAAAGCTGATTTTGTCTGGCCATATCATAGTCCAAATGCGACAGTAATCTGCAAGTCTGACCTTTGGCAAATCTTGCTGCTCGTGATTTAAACCCTGAACCTTCAAAATCGTTTTTGTCAACTGCATCTTTATAATAAAGTGCAGCCTCATAGAGACCTTTGCTAACCTCACGATCTGCTCCAAGTTCATGAAGAAGTAGACATCTGTATGCGTAATGTATTCCTGAGTCATAGCATTGAATACCATTAATAGATAAAGTTAAACGACGAATCCATGTTAAACCTAAATATTGAGCTACACTAGTAAAACTATCACCTGCAAAATTCCCTGCCAAATCTTTAACAATAGGCACCCATTCGCCAGTTGCATCAACTTTACGTTCAAGAGATAATACAAGACTCAGATATGTCTTACTCAAATCTAAGTAAAGTGAGTCACCAAAATACCGGAAAATAAAAGGACCTGCAGATTGATTAAGTGCATTGAGGGGAAGCAATTCTTTGTATGCGGACCGTTGAATACCAACATTTGTTGATGGTATACTAAAGAAAGTTAGTCGATTATCAACCCCTTCAGTACTGTCTTTATCAATTTTCTTTATTGTCGTCATTTTAATTATAGAATAATAATAATATACTAATACTTATATACTCAGAAATCATCAAAGCTGAGTTGGTCTCTATATCGTCTACGTTTCTTTCCTAAATTATCTATAATAACATTTTGTTTTTTCTTTCGGCTTCTTTTGCCTTTCCCACATTGTTCTAGTTTTTTTCCTACTTTTTGAAGACCTTCGCTTCCATGCTGTTTCAATGCTTCACTTACTGAGCGACCTTGTGAAACATCTTCGAGAATATTTTTTCCTACATTTACAGCCTCATTTCCCGCAGTTGTGGCTATATTTTTAACAATAGGCATTAAAAAACGCCCTACAGCCCCAAGTACACCAAATCCTCTTTGATACCTAGTTCCTTGGAAATAACGATTATCTTCAAGTAATCTTCCTCCTCCGTCTTGAGCACTCAAAAATGGCTCCCAGTCAATTTTATCTATGTCTAAACTAACGTGTGTCATGCTTTAAAATAGTGAGCGTTGAAAGTGTAATGTTAATATACAAGTTCCCCAATGGAATTTTACTAGTTTTCCAGTTAAGGTTCGAATTTCAATAGTAATATCTGGATGGCGTTTACCTAATAAACGATGATGATGTTCGGTCATATATACTTCTGAAACACTTTCTCCAGGTTCACCAGATACATTAACAACACGTAATAAAGGTGCAGTTACGTTACCTATTATGCTATTTTCAACAAGTTTTGGTGCATAAACTAAAAATTGACGCACACCTCCAGATATATCAGGCATATACTTTGCGACTTGTCCACTATGAACCTTCTCTGAATCGAAACCAAGAGTATAAGCTAGTTGACGACTTAATTTAATAAATTGTACGTTTCCTTGCAAGAAGACATGAAATCGCTTATGCACTTTATCGTATAGTATGGAAACCCATTGATATTTTGGATCAGCGAGTTGTATATTGGAGAAACTAAGAAGCATTTTTAAATATTCAGGAGGATAAGCATATTCAGCTAGATGTAATTTTTTAGGCTCCGAATCATCCAACTCTTCAGATTCTTTTTGCGGATGAAAATTTTCTTGTTGTGGAAGTTCTTTGTCTTTGGTTTTATCTTCAACATGCCTACCTCCACCACCAAAGAAGCTTTTCCAAAAGGAAGGACGTTCAGGAGGGTCAGCAATTAACATTTCAGGATGCGGGAGCTCAGGCAACGAGCTTAGATCCTCAGGTTGAATTGCTACTTGTTCTGGTTCTTCTTCAATAGTGGGAAGATTACTCACTTTTTCAGCCACTTCCTCATTAATTATTGCCGGAGATTCCTGTGGCTTTCCTAAGCCTTCTTTTTCAGGGGACCATGGTTCTACAGTGTCTTCTTCATTTATTGTTGGTAATTCACGCGACTCCTTATCTTCAGGATTGTCCATTGAATGTGGTACAGGCTCTTCTAAGGGGGGAGTCCAAGGCTCTTCATCTTCATTAATAACTCCTGGAAATTCCTGAATCTTTTCTTTAGAAGATTCTACATGCTCCTCAGTGACTTCTTGTTCAATTTCCTCACGAGGTTCAATATTTTTCTCATCTTCATGTGCCGTGGACTCTTGAACATTTTCCAATATTTCTTCAGAAGTTTCTTCAGTGACTTCCTGATCATGAAGTTCAATATTTTCAGCTTCTACGATTGTAGAAGGATCTTCATCCTTTTCTTGCGTATCTTCAGATGGCTCTTCAGCGACTTCATTATTTGATTCAGCTTCTTCCTCATTATTTTCCTCTTCATGTGTAGAAGGCTCTTTAGCATTTTCTTGAGTATCTTCAGATGTTCCATGTGGTTCTTCGTCTTCATGTTCTTCGTCAGCAATTTCCTCTTCTGCAGGCGCTGAAGGTTCTTCATCCTTTTCATACTTATCCTCAGATGGCTGTTCAGCGACTTCATTTATTGACTCAGCTTCTTCCTCAATATTTTCCTCTTCGTGTGTAGAAGGCTCTTTAGCATTTTCTTGCTTATCTTCAGAATGTTCTTTAGGCTCTTCAGATCCATGTTTGTCTTGCTTTTCAAAATTTTCATTTTTTTCGTGTGATGAAAGCTCTTCATCATCAGGAGTTGTTATTTTTGATGATGAAGTTTCATCGTCTTGTTTCGAAAGTTCAGCTTCAACTTTGCCTACAATTTCTTCCGATAAAATTTTCTGACCCGCAACAGCTTCATCAACTTGATTAGCTAATCCTTTAACCTTTTGTTCTGCGGCCTTAGCACGATCTGCAGCTTTTCGTGCCTCTGTAACATCGCCTCGTGACTCTGCCGCTACAGTTTCTTTTTGTGCTTCTGAAACACTATCTTTTGCATCTAAACATTCTTGTATCCATTTATTTATTTCATTTCTTCGACCAACCAATAATTTTAATTGTGTTATAACCCATTTCAGAATAGTTGCAGGTATTTTTCTTTTAGGTATTACTCCATCTGTTACCTCTTCATCTATTAGTGCATAGTTATAACGCGCATCTTCCCAATATTTCTGATTAAGAGCTTTATTTAGTTGTGATTGTTGCTTTGCCAATCCTACACTATTAGTCAATGACCTTGTAGCAGCACGAACTGCCATATCTATCAAAGTTTTTTGTTCATCTGTTAAGGTATCAGAAAGAGGTGTTATCTTCCCGTCTAAAGGAGTTTTGTCCTTTTGCTTTTCAGTATCCTGTTGTATATCATCCGATTTTTCTTCAGAAACTACTGGAGCTTCAGTAGGGGCATCTTTTACTGGAGACTTTGGGATAGGAGTCTCATCAGATGTAGGCAAACTCTCTGTTTTTTCAAGGTCTTCCTTAGAATTATCTTCCTCAGTTTTACTAGAATAATTTTCTACTTCTTCTTGTAAAGGATTTTCAGATTTCTGCTCAGAGGGGGAAGTTGATGCAAAACTTTTAATTGCATTTATTATTATATCTTTTTGCTCAGTTTGCGGCTTTAATCGAACAACAGAGCTTTCCGGAACTGAAGATAGAACTGGAAGTTTTGCCCCCTTAATTTCTTTATTTAAATATTGAATAAATTTATAAGCACGATCCTTTGGCATATCAAAGTAACCTTCCGTTTCCAATTGTTGAATAAAACTCTCATATTCAGCAGTAGGCAATTTTTCTTTTTGTTCAACTTCGGGCTGTGTTTGCGGAGTAGATTCAATGGTTTCTTCGATAGGCGTAACAGTTGAGTGTTCTTCATTTTGATTGGCTGAGGGAGGATTAGTAAATTCATCAAGTGCTTGTTTGATCAGCTCTATTTGATCTTGATTCGGAGTGAAACGAACCATTTCTATATCATCTATTGCATGAGGGCTTATAGGCGGTAAACGAATTCCTTGTTTTCCTAAAAATTTCATGAAATTAAATGAAATTTCCTTTGACAAATCAAAATACCCATTTTTAACTAATTGTTCGCTTATAGTCTCAACAGCGCGTCTTTTACGAAAATTTCCATAAATTCTCTTTTTATTCTCTTCAAGTCTCATTTCCTCTCGCTCGCGATCCAATTCCTTTTTCCAAGCATCAAGTAAAATTGCATTTATGGCCTCTTCCAATGCCTCTTCTGAGGCAAAAGACAAATCAGGTATCTCGATTCGAACAGATAGAAGTTCCTTTCCATATCGGCGATAAATTGTAATAGATTCTTGTTCTTCGGAATCTCCAAGTAAAGAGAATGAAAACGGATAAATAATGTTTGAAAGTGCAACAGTCCAACTTGAATCTAACTCAAGTGTGTCAGGCATCCTTACTGTGAATTTTGAGGTAGTATTTCCTTCAACATCTTCAGAATTTGAAGGTAAAACAACATAAAATGAATCCATGGTTAATGTCGAACTATGTCGCTGTCGTTTACCCAGCTGTTATGATTATCTTTATAACCAACCCAACGCACAAAGTGTTGCTTTATCCCTGTACGTGTTGTACGTGTCTTTAAAATTTCGGCAATACGATGAGTAGTATCCTCTTGCGTGGGCACCAACTCTTCTCTATAAAATATTCCTTCAATTAGGTTGTCTTCAAAATCCTTTAACCTATATGTTATAGGCGTACGTGCGTCGTTAGTTGTATGTATAAGAAAAAGCTCGTCAGTATAGTTTGGTAAATAACCTTTTTCAAATTTACCCTTTTCTTTTGATATACGGACAACTTGTCCTGGCTCGAGTTTAGAAGTTATTTTTATAGGATCATCAGTGCCCTTATATAGTCTTTCAAATAAATTTTGAGAATTTTTAAAAGTAACAGAATTAGGTGTAACACCTGTAACACGGTTTACGCTTGAATTTATTCCAGAAACAATTTTTTGAATTGCCTCTACCCAACGAAGTGTGTTTTTTTCGCTGAAGTATCGATATAGTCTTTCTTTAATTGTGCGATTTGCCCTTTCTGCCATTGAAGCATGAATATCAGGGCTATAAACTACACGCTTGTCAATATCCTTTGTTCTAAAATATTCCTTCATTCTTTTAGCCTCAAATTCTAATCCCCGATCAGTATACAATTTATGAGGCATGATACCTTCTGATATTTTGAAAATTTTTTCAAATGCCTCAATCATATCTTCTGATCTCTTAGTTTTGACAGGCGATGCAAAAATCTTCCGACTGAGAACATCAATACATACTAAAAGGTATCTGTTACTATCGTTATGTTTAGCTATCTGGTCAAATATTGCTAAATCTGCCTGCCAATCTGTATGAAGACCACTTGGACGTGTAACTAGCCTTGGAAATTTTTTTCTGGATGGTCTATGCATCGTATACACTCTTTGCTTATGCAAAAAATTATAAACGTCCTGAAATTTTATCTTTGGATACTTGCGCATCGCTTCTTCATAAACACGCTTTATTCCTGCATACGAAGCAGGAGAATTTAGCGAATAATAAATTTTTGATAAAAAGGTATCTAAAGTTTTTCCCATATTTGAGGAATAAATTTATTTTTCTTTTTTATAGGCAAGACTTTTACCAAGACTCTTTTCTTTCTTTTCCCGCTACCTGATTGACTTAGAGAACTTTCGTCGGTACTACTTTCTCCTTGAGTCTCTTTAATCATTTCTTTTACTAATGGGTCTTTGGATAGTCGATTAAATAGAAAACTAAAACCTTTAGGAGGTGATGATATATCCCCTTGAACATATTCGAGGACTTGAGTGAAATTACTATTCTTCACAAGTCTTCCTTTGACATTAGATTCAAAACTTCCATTCTTATGTATTCTAAATTTTTCAGCATTATCACGAACATAATTTTCCAGATCCTCTGAATATTTCTTTGAAATAACACCCTTAAAAGGGGTTGTTTTTCTCCGTTTACTTTTAAATAAGTTTGATTCTGAATCTGTCTGATATTCTGAACTTGATTGTACGGGTTGTAACTGTGTTTTAGGGGTTGCTGCTTCTTTTAGGTAAGGAGCAATTTCTGAAGCTCTAGCTGAATTACCCTCATCGATAATCACCTTTTGAGGTCTATTTTCTAATTCTTGTTTGAGTTGTCTTCTTTTCTTATATAACCAGTTATATTTTTGGGCTTTGACATCTTCACTTAAATTCGGATCACTAAGAGTCTGTTTAATTTTTGAGTCTGTCTGTACCTTTTCATTTTGAAGAAAATCTCCGCCTTTGATCATACCTAATAGTGTAAGATATTCACTTTCAGGAACCATAATCATTTTCTTTGTATGTTTCATTCTTGTGTGAATCTGTGAATGATATGTTCAGCTAAGGCTCCCAGGACAGGTACAAGTATAGCAGCTAGAGCGGCACTACCTCCTTGTTGTATTCGATTTCTAGCGCTTTTTTCAGTACGTGTTCGTGCGATAGCTCTATAGAAATCAGCAAATTGTGCTAACTTTTTGCGCTGTCGTCTATTTAATATAAAATTATTTTTTAAAATATTAGCACAGATTTCAACTATTGCTAATATTTGATCCGCACTGGCTGAAAGAATTAAGGCGTTTTTCTTTTTATCGGAAGATGTTTTAGCTAAACGCTGTAAGAATTCAAAATTTTCTTTAACGTATGGACTATAGTCATACATTTTTTTTATAAATAATAGTTTTAAGATCACTTATATATTATAGAGGCAAATATATAGTCTGTTTTTCACCTGGAAATATTTTAGTGGAAAGACGCAGATTCTCTTCTGTACTTGGATGCATATTAATTAGTAAATAGGAAAATTGTTCGGAAGTAGCATCGCGATAAGCCTCAAGAAAATAGTTAAGCATTTTTGGAAAAAGCTGTGACCCTAGTGTACGTACCTGTAGTAGTCCTTGAGGATTTTTGGTCAAAAGAATATAATGGGCGTTTGCACGTGCAGTCCGGATATCGCGTCCGTAAAGTGATTGTGTTACAAAGATTACGCTTACAACCCAATTATGCGATCCTCGAGTGAATAGTAAATCAAGAAAATCTGCAGGAATATTTAGCATTAAGTCATCTAGGACTAATAATTGGTGTTGTTTAATCTTCTCGACTTCTGGAACCCCATTATATGTTGTTATTCCCATTTCTTTTAATTTGAATATATTTTCGTTCATTTCGCCAAAGCAATATAATATTTTATTTGGCTGAGGGTCAATTAATTTATCACAATTTGCTAGAAATTTCATTAGCCATTGGGTTTTCCCGCTGCCTGTGGCACCGGAAATAACCATAGTAAAAGGAGCTTTAAACATTTTTTTCGTTTTGTAAAAAATTTTCTGTTTTCATTTATATATTACAGATGATCCCCGAAGCAATTATTCAGAATGTTGTATCTACAGCACAACTACTTGATAAAAATGGTAAACTTGATCTTTATAATCTTGCAGCAAGTATTAACAATTCTAAATATTCTCCTGAACGATTCTCTGCACTTATAATTAGAATTCAACAACCAATTAGATCGACGGCTTTAGTATTTTCTAACGGAAGAATTGTATGTGTTGGAACAAAATCGGTGAAGGACTCGGAAATTGCGATTGGACATTTTGTTGACATCATATTATCTGCAAGTTCCTTACCAATAAGGATGCGAGGATTTAAAATACAAAATGTTGTATCCTCATTTGCTTTTCCTGGGCATATTAATTTACCGGGTAACTTTTTCCTATCATAACGAAATATTGTTTAAGCCTTATACGACACCATGAGAATTGCTCCTCCAACGTGGCTCGCTAAACATATTTCTTACAACCCAGAATTTTTTCCGGGTATGTGCTTAAGACTTGTTGATTTTCGCACTGTTGTGTTAATCTTTACGACTGGGAAGTGTATAATTACAGGCGCACGAACAGAAGAAGAAATTTTTATTGTTCAAAATAAAATTTACAATTCGATCTTAATGTTTGTAAAAATCAATAAATACTTGAGTTGATTTCGCTTCTTAATTCCATCAAGAGTTTTCCAAGATAATTTTCGCCTTCCCATTGGCTAGGATCTTTCAGTTTTGCACTTTTTGGACATACGCCGTTGCTCCAATAAAGTTCTGATGCGGACGCCTGCGCAATAAGTCCATCGCCTGTGGCACGTAACTGATTGAATAGCTGAGTGTTCTGGGTAAATTTTGCCCATAGTCCTGTGTACATAACCTATAATTTATGGTGAAATTATAAATAATATTTTTTTACTTTGTTGCGAACAGAATTCCATTCAATTTGATTATATCCTCGGATACGTTTCCCAATTCTTCGAATAGCTATAGGGTTATTTAGCAATAATACTTCTTCAGCAATTTCCAAATCCCCGAAGAAACGTGCTTTCTGCCAAATGAAAAATTGTTCTACTGAACTAAATGTTTTTCCAAGTAATGTGAAACTTGTTCTAAATCGGTTGTCAAAGCCAAAACGTTGAGAATGAAATATGAATATATTTTGATGTTGTTCGCCGATAATTTCTATTGGTGGATGCGAGTTCGCAGTAATTTTTATTTTAAGTCGTTCTAGGAACCAAGCTGTATTATCTAAATTGTTTTATATTTAAATTTATTTAAAAAATTAACCTATATTGATATCATTGATCATATTGCTAAAAATATATTAAAACAACTAAACTAGAATTTAAAAAGATATATTGTATAAAACAAATCAAAAAAACAAAATATTTATGAAAAAATATTTATACGAAAAAGATCATTTTGTTGGATCATTAATAGGTGCACCCCGATATCCATAAGGATAACAATCGAAATTTGCATCTACAAATCCTTTGTCATAGATTGGTGTGTAGCGTCTAAATAATTTTTTATATTTTTCAGATAAAAACAAAATACCTTATTTGAGTTCGACTTGTAACTTGTCCTTTGCGCCAGTTAGGTTGAAAATGTGTTCTCTGCAATACCACAGGATCTTGTTCTTCTCCATATGCTTCTACCATTTTCTGTAAATAAATTATAAAATTATATTGTAGTTTTTAAATACCCGGAATTGATTAAAGTCCAGTGGTGTGTCAACTTGCTCCCAAAGTCCACGGCATTTTACAATATATTTTATTTCACCAGTTTCACGGTGCTTCATTTTCATTGCATACTAAGAAAAAATACAGTGAATAAAAGTGTTATTCAAAAACCTGTTTGCATCCTCCTGTATAAAAAGATATAATAGCCCATTCTTCATATTCGCGACTCATCATTCCAAGCATATCCCCAACACGAAACGGTGGTTTTTTATTACGCTTGTGTACAAAAAAACAACTATCCGTATCGGTATATAAAAGTTTACACTCGTTGTCATTTACAATTTTTTCCATAAAGTCGTAAAGCATCACTCTTGCCGTTGCTGTTGTAATAAGGGCCAATATAATGTTGTACTTATCGTGTGGTCGAACAAATTCGCGACGATTCTTATAAGGTACAGCGAAAAGATCTGGAGTCAACATCTCTATAGCCCCCACTTCAAGCTTTGGATCATTTAAAATTGTATGAAGTTTTATAGGGGAACTTGTGATGCAATCTTGAGTTAAATTACAGCGAAGTGCCCAGCGTCCCCACCTAAAATTATTGATTTAAATTTTTAAATTAATTTACATTGAATTATTGCAAGTTTTAGCTAAATAGCGTAATCCTTCATTCCTTGCTATTTTTGAAGGCTCAAGAGTAATACCATATTCTTTTTGATTTTTCACAATAAAATCATTTTTGAGTCTTTCTTCATTTTCAAGATTTTCCGGGCACAAAGCACTGCTGGGCCAACCGCTTGCCTAAGTTAAAAACGTATGAATATCAAAACTAATGTTAAAACCTCAATTTTTAGACGCATCATGTCCTGAACATATGGACGTAGTAATTCATCAGACCATTCATCCCAATGATAGATGCTATAAACTTTTGTTGCACGATAACCTCTGCTCAAAGCAAGTTCAAGTTCTACAGAGCAAGTTGTGCTCACAAATCCGCGCTGTCTATCATTATGTTGACACCATTTTCTTTCATAACTATAGCCGTTTTGTTTACGTTTAGCCACACCGGGCTCTATCTCTATTGCACATTGATGACATAGGTGAAATAACTAGAAAAATTTTTCACTTTGGATTTAAATTAACATACCAATTTTCCGTGTATTCTCTCTGGAATTACAGGTAAATATAAGTCGTCAGGGGGAATGATGAATAACTTAAATATTCCACGATAAGGTCGTAAGTCTTCAGGTTTTGTCCAATTTATGTCGAGATTGAGATCCAATAACTCAGGATGGCCTAAAAATATATGGTTACAAATTTTTATAAAGTCTCACCAATGGGGTAGAACGCATAAAAGTTGACCGCAGGATATAGACTAACAACATCATAACATGAGATTTCGTATTTGTTTTCTGAATCACCTTCAAGGTTGCATTTAAGAGATAATGGTCCTGTTCTTCCACCTAGATATTGCATAATTATAAGAATTAAAAAATAATAAAACCATGAAAAGCATCCCGAGGGAATAAAGGTCCAATATCTGGCAATTCATCGAAGAAAAGTGACATTTTCGGATTATTTTCCAATGCCTTGACTACTTCGCATTCCCAAAATATGTAGCTACGTATGTTCTCGTTCTTTAACAAATTGATTCGTTCGTTTAAAGTGTCGTCATTATATAGTGCTGTTTTACCGTTGAGACAGATTTCATGAGGACGATAAAGACTGAATTTATAAGTAAGAAAATGAAGCTTATTTTACCATTTATGTCCATGCCATGCACATCCGAGGAACTCTATAGCTATATTTTTTTCTTTAATAAAACCATCAAGTCGCAAAACACTTCCATTTGAAACAGTAATTCTATACTCGCCTTCTGCACTTTGTCTGTTTTGAATTTGAAGGCCTGTTTTATGTTCAAGCCATTTAATAAATTTAATGGAGATTGCAGAGTAGTTTGTATCTTTGTGATACCCGTTGTCTGGAATAATACCTATCTGATTGTTTTTCAAATAGTTTATGCCTAAAAAAATAAAACTATATTGGTTAGAATTTTGAAATTTACAAAAATGACGAAGGCATGCACTAGCAAGTGTCATTGAAGATACAAGAACATCATCTCGTTTTGATGGTTCCGTAGCGAGTTCAAAGAATAGCTTTTGAAGTTTAACAAGAGCGTGTGTAAGTATGCGTACATCCTGCTCACAATATTCGACAATTTGTTCACAAAGTAAAAATGAACTGTCCTTGTGCATATCATACCATTCCTCGAAATCTTTCCTTCTTTGTTTTCCCATTGTTTCGGGATAATAATACTTCTTAGCTGGCAGACTTTTTAACAAAATATCCATATTTTTATTAAGATTCCATCCGTGAGGAAAAAATGATTTTCCTCCTTCATCCATATCTAGACCAAGAGCCTTTGGTAATTGATCCAACTTGAGCATCATCCAATTAAAAGAATCGCGAAAAGAAATGTGCGGATAAATTCCATCTTTCTTCTTTATAAGAACTTCGTAAAGTTTGTTTCCAGTTCTTGTTATATTTGGTTCAATTCCAAAGTGATTGATCAATTCACCCAATAGTAAATGCATATCATAACGTCTGGAAAAAATATTAAAATAAAAAATTATTCAGTACAAACCCTCCATAATGTGAAATTGCAAGAGTTTTTCCTTTTCTCTCATTATCAAGTCCAAAGATTATCCATTGAAGAAATTCACGCAATGGGTTCTCGTAATTTGCACCCGTCCAACTTTTCATTCTAGGAATTCCCGGTCCACAAGTTTTGCATGTTCCTGTATATTTTTCTTTCCAATTATTATTTTTCATACACTTTGCGCATAATAGCATTGCCTAATTTATAATTTATCAGTTAATATAATTAAAATTACCGAGACACAGTTAACATGATGTAATTGATAATTTTCATCGTTAGATGAACTATCATTTATAATTTTTGATGATGATATAAGTTCACATTCAAAATCAAATACAACCTAAAAAATTTTTATATAAAAGTGATTAAAAAATACCATAAGATAAGATTGCGTTTTTTTAGGAACAATCTGTTGTACAAAGCATTGTTCGTCCCTTCTATGGCGTGAATGACAAAGAGAACAGAAACGAATATAACATACATGTCCTTCATTTTCCTCTTTGTTATTCACTTTGTAAATTTGACCACATTCTTTGCATCTATTTTCAATTTTATTTTTGATCAAAATTTTAATATACCTTTTAAAAATCTGGCATATTCCCTTTTGAATATGTCGATTGTAACAGTCCGGATTTTTAAATAAGTTGAAACACTCAGAACAATTTATTTCGTAATTTTCAATCTCTTTGCACGGAAAATCTGCGCCCATCCCGCAGCAACGTGGACATTTTGCTGCACATGTCTGCCGATGTTCTATTTTGCTGTGGTAGGTTGATTCACATTCAAGACAATAATACATATCCTTTCCAAAAAGTGTATTTAGTTTTCTTATACCATAATAATGTCCATCCTTTAAATATAGACAAACATCCTTCTCAGCACGCGCTGCTCCCTTCCATAAAGGTTTCATTTGGCCATATTCTCCAAATACAGCTAATCGATATTCGCCAGGAAATTTTTCATTAAAATATTTTTGTATTAATGGGGCATGTTCTTCTACATTATATTCTTGCAATTTCAGAGGATATCTTATTCCGTGTCGTTTCATTTGAATTAACATATCCTTGATCAATGTGTATCTTTGAGTCTTGGATCTTGCTCCTTTTCCTGCAATAATTCTTTGAAAATTCATTTTTTCTTTTGGTGTATTGTCCATATTTATATACATCAATGTTAGCTGAACAGCCAGCAAAAGGCAATGGTATTTGGCAGGTTCACCTAGATCATCATTGCGAACCTAAGTTTTGTTATATTGTATTTTTAAAATTTAAAAACCTCAATAAGATTGTTGAGATCTGTTCCTTTCATAATATGTCTTGATTTTCTGCCGCTTCCACTATTTCCTTTCTCTATCAAGGCTAGAGCCTCTTCATGAGAAGGTCCCATAACAATCTTGATAAAAATAGTTTTTTTACTTTTTATGAAAATCCACCTCAATATGTATTGGTTGGCTGTAAAGTGATGGTCTTCCCATCCTTTTTCCACTTTGATCAACAGAATCAAGTTGTTCCATAACAACCTGTGGTGTATTTTGCGCAAAACCTCTGTATGGAATTTGAATTGGTTTCTCAAGAACTGCACTGCGTATAATTATTGAACATTTTTCCGCTTTTGTACCGGTTGACTTGTCTGCTTTTTCAATGAAGTAATCAATTAAATCTTCTAAAAGTTGATCACTTCCTTCTGGCGCATCTTCAATATTTTTAACAGTGAATACATTTCTAAAAAAAGAATTTCGATATATAAATTTGAGTTTACCTGAAAACACCAATTTTGAATTTTGTACTGTTAACAGTCTCAGCTGCCTCTTCTTTATAAAAATGTGAAACAGAATATTCTCCAAAATTTCTAATATGACGACTCATCTAAATGCTATAATAAAAATTAATAATGGTTATTTAGATATTAACGTTAAAACGTATTTTAATAAAAAATATAAGTATATTTTAAATATTTATTTATTGAAAAAGTATTTTTATATTTCAATGTTGTCTCCATTTATTTTTCAGTTTCAGCAGTAACGACACGGTCTTCTGAAGAATTTTCCGTTTGCACACCCTTCTCTTCTGTGTTGGGTTTAATAGTACTACATGAATCCGTGTGAGCTCTCATGAATATTATTGGTGAATCTAAAATTTAAGATACGTATAACATTTTTTGTCAAACCTTCACGCATAATTGGTCCATGAATACTTCCGTGTTTGTTGAAGATCTTAATCGCCATTTCAAGATCAATTTGACCCCAGAATTTGCTGAATGGATTATGAAGCTCAAAATACAACTCATCCTTCACGACTTCAGTAATCGCCTTAAGTAATATATTTAATAAATTATACGAATAAAAATATACAATTTTTGCCAGCGCATTCATCTCTCTTAGTAGATATTCATGTATTTGACATTTTGCTAGAGGATAGCGTTTTTCATGAAATTGCATAAAAGCATCGTATAGCTCATTTTTTAGCATCTTGTCATCTTGGCGCACATACTCAAGCGTGCTTATTTGTCGAGAGAATCGTATAACGCTTTCTTTGAGTCCTTCAATAACATGTTCATACATTTGTTGATCCATCTTAATATATTTATTTAATATTTTAAAAATTTTAATACCTCTATTTTGAAGAGAATATTACAGGAACTGAAACTTTTTTTGAGAAAATTGATTAATTAAAATATAAAAGAATTTTAATCGTTAATTTAACGATTATTTTTTGTAATTAAGGTTGCTTTAAATTTTTTATTCAACAATATTAATCAAATAAGCGGTGTTTAATTTTCCTCTTAATTCTTCTTATTTAATGTGCCATATGTTTTTTGCTGGTGCTCAATGTTGGCTGTTGTGCAGTAAGAGCAGACCTTAACTAAAATTATTTAATCATTTGGGAAATTTCCTTACAGGGAAGCTGAGCTCGTATATGCTGCCCTTTTTCTTGATGAAAAGTTCATTAGCCAGTTTTTTTGTAAGGTCGCCGCATTGTGAGCACTAAAATTATTTATAAAAAATTTAATACATTTTACTACCTGGTGAAGAATCCAGCAATATTTGCCCAAGTTTAGAAGCTTCTTATCCGTACCTTTTGTAATGCTCGCACCTCTTGTAAATTCAAACTCATCGTCATCTTAATAAAAATATTCATTATTTACAAAATACGATTACCAAGATCAAGCATTGACATTTTTGAGCCTGATTGATGTCCATTATTAGAATGCCCTAAAATATTTTTGATTTTCGTAGAAATTTTCATCTTACCAAAGTATCCAGAGTAATGCATTCCTAAAGAGATATTTCTATCAAGATCCTCAGCACACAATTCTATCGTCAATACAGATAGTCCATCTATCCCTGTGCTGAATAAATAGAATTCCCTTTTTTTCTGACTTTCGCGGCAAGATTCGCACTGATAGACGAATATCCCTCGTCGTTGATGTTTAAGAAGCTGTGCTCGATCTATCAGTGCCGCTGGCACAGTGAATCTCTTATGATAATTTTCTAAAATTGTTTTATTTTAAAATTTCAAAATATAAAATTACTTTCAATGCGCATTTTTTTGCTGACTGATTCGTTTGATCCCATAGGATTATCATCTTCAGATTCTGAAAAATCGCCCTCGTAATTTAGAATAGCCTGATGCAATTCATCATCATCCTTCTTTTCTTTATCAGCCATTTGCTTTATTTCTCCATCGTTTGCCTTCTAATTATCTTTATATAAGAAATGATAGATAAGTATACCTGAGTCTCAGATGGATTTTTCATTATTTTCTTCTCGGGCGTTTTAGTCTTTTTTGCCGGTGTTGATTTGTCTGGTGACGAAGTACTATTTGACTTTGACTTTCTTCTTCTATTTTCTGATGCCTCTTTCTTTTTTTGTTGTTTTGAAATAAAATCGCGGAATAGCTCTATTTCCTCAGCAGTTATTGAACCTTAAAGCTAGAAATTTCTACTTGAGGATAGTTACCTTGTGATCCATTATTTTGAGTTTCATCACCATCAAGATTAATTGTTTCGACTAAATAATTTAAAATAATTACAATTTAAAAATTTGAAAGTTTTTACCATCTTTTGAGTTGGAGTTCATTTTATATAGAAAAATAATTTCTAAATATTTAAAATCTTTGAAAATTTTAAAAAAGTTTAAAATTATTTGGATATTTTATATAAAATTTAAATATATTTTAAATCAATTGAAAAGGAAGAGTTGAATAGGCTTTTACAATAGGAAATTGTTGATAAGTAGTATGAATGAAATACAAGGCGAAAAAGAGCTTCTTTTATATGCACCAAAAATGCTTCTAGAACATTCTAGAATAGATAATTACTATTGTAAAAACCTGTTTTCTTGCACAATTATGTTGAAGTAGATCCTTTGTGTATTGAATATTTTCATTGTTATATGTAATTTTGGCCAATTAAATGGGCAAACTTTTGCAAAACTTTCGCCCAAATTATGTACTTTGTGCGTTTTTTGGCCCAATTAAGTTGGCAATTTTTTGTTCACTCATTGTGAAATATTTTTTTAAAGCAATTATGTGAGCCTTTTTGCGAAATATTTTTTGTGCAATTAAATGGTTATTTTCTTTGTAATTATTGCGAAATCAATTGGTGTGACGTTTTTAAGTATGACTACATATTTGGGGGCCAATTATATATAAATTTTAATTATTTTTGTTCTATTTGATTTAGAAATTTTTAGTTATGGACCATCCTCAATGCTGATCATCCATACGTTTTTCAATTTCAGACTATTTTCGACTACTATATTAATATTTTAACACGGAAATTTATGCTATTGGCGAATTACCAATTTACAGAATTTTTTAAATTAATGACTTTGCATTACTCATGAATTTCCTCACAAATTTTCACCATTTCTATGAATATTCGCTTAAAATTCTTAGTTTAGGTGGTTGAGTGGTTGAATTGTTATGCGCCGACCTTTATGTTATAATTACTACCCGGTTCGGATCCCTGTGGAGGAATGTTACATTTAACATTTCTAAATGCTTTTCCTAAAAACGTTTGAATTTTTCACCTATAGCCTTCCAAATATTCTCAGAAACTTTATTTTTTCGACGTTTAGAAGTTAACCACTTCAAAATTTTATAAAAAATAACTACATGCTTTGTCAAAAATGTTTTATCAACACAAATTATTTTGTAAAACTTTTGTTCGTAAAATGTCAAATTTATTCCTCTAATTGCTTTTTGCGCTCTAAAAAGACATAGGTTTTTTTCAAAAAAAAATGTTTTACACTATTCCATGTCATGTCAAAAATTTTTGCGAAGATAATTATTGGGCCTTAAAATGAAAATTTTTAAGTGATTGTCATTCACTAAATAAAATTCGCTGCAATATGAAAAGAAATTGTTGCAAATAAAAGCTTTAAATTACTTATTTTTTACTTTTATTTTAGAATGTTCGTATAGGCTTAGGTTTCAAATATTTTTCATATTTCTAATTATATTTAAAAAAATAAATTTTCGGAAATATACTCTGGTTTTATAACACTTTTTTCCAAAAAGTGTTATAAAACTGGAGTATATACTACTTTTATATTGTTTGGATTAAATTTCAAAAAAAATAACCAACACAAAATAAATATTTATTTTGTGTGTCATTTAATAGTTAAAAATTAAAAAAATATTTTTTTATTCAAAAAAATATTTCTTCAAAAAAAGAAAAATCATTCAACCATTTTATTTAGGTTGAAAATGTGTAAATTATAATGGATATTTATTTAATAATTTTGAAAAAAAATTTTTTTGGAGGATTAAATGTGAAAAATAATATTGAATTTAAGGTTTCAGACAAAGATTATTTATTTTTTAACAAACAAAAAGAATGGTAGAATATTGACTGAATTATTAAGTTTTAAAACACAAATATCTGGTTTCTGGTTTAATCAGAATTATTGTTATTAAATTAGCAAAATTCAGAATATTATAATTTTGGTTGGTATTTAAAATCAGAATTAAAAATTAAAAAATCAGAAATTCTGATTTTAATGAATTTTGTTTGAAATCAGAACAGAATTTAAAAATTCTGATTTTTTGATTCTGGTATTGAATTCTGATTTTTAATTTAAAAATTCTGTTATTTAATTCTGATTTTAAAAATTCTGATTTTCAATTCTGGTCTTTTAATTCTGATTTTAATTCAGGTTTTTTAGTTCTGATTTTAAAATTCTGATTTATTTTTAAAGATTCTCTCTCGTCTATTTTTAAAATCAGAATTTTTAAATTCTGATTTATTATTTTCTTACACTAAAAAGACTACCTATTTCTCACTTAATCAGCTAGTAATTAACAAATATTATTTGAGACAGAAAATGTTAAAAATAAGAAAAAAATTTTATGTAAAATGTCTAGAATAGGCAACAAATTATTAAACAAACAATTTCAACTAAATACACATTAATCAAATATTTATAGAATTTTTTAAAAACCAATTTTTGGTCTTTTTAGTTATTTTTGTATTTTTACATCATTTATACTCTTGAAATGCCCCTCCCCAAAAAAGGCTAATTACTTTTTGCATTTTTGGTATAGAGAAAATGTGTCTTCTGACTAAAATAAAATTTTTTCTATTTAAATATAACAACCGGAAAAGGGGGAAAATGGGGAAAAAATTATTTGAAAAAAAAAATAAAATGGGTGTATTGAGTTTTGCGGACATAAATTTGCGGACATTGAATACCCTATTTTGTGGTGGAGGCATCTTTTAGGAAACTCCTTAACTCAGTTTTTCATGTATGAATTATTAAAAGACAGTCCAATTTCTCTAGTTAAATAATTGAATCTCGTTAAAATGTACGCCCTTAGGTCGGAAAAATCGTAGACTAAAATAAGTTGTATGTACAATAAAACATCTACTTACTTTTCTATGGTGTCTTCTGAATACCTACATATATTTATGGTGGAGGTACCATTTAGGAAGCTCCTCCACCCAACCACCGGCCATCGACATTAATAAAACGTACACTTAACTTTAATGTGTATACATTAATGTGTGTATAATATTAACAGGATTAAGGTGCCTGAGCACTAATATTGCTAGGAGAGCTAGTTCACCTAGTTTCATGAAGGTCGACCTATCAGGCTTTTTGTATTAGCAAGTTAAGTCTTCCAAAACTCTTCCAAAACTTTACATTTAATTATGGTGCTACAGATTAACCCTTATTAGCTCCCAAAGAAAAATTTTTCTCATGTCCGCAAATATCCATCCGCAAATGTTAATGAGCACACAAAAATAAAAAATGAATGAAGATAAAATAAATGGGGTATTTTTAAATTCCTTAGAGAAATTCTCTCTCTTTCTTACTTTTCTACTCATATGACATCCCTTTCAAAAAAGGTTGAATGTGGCAGATGACTGACCGACAACCAGAAAAAAATAAATAAATATTTTTTGGACCTGTCAGCAGACCGTTTTTCTTTTTTTTTATTTTAGTTCATCTAATCTTCATGTGTTTTAATAAAAATAAATTTCGTAAGGGACTAAGAGAAAATTAAATTTATTAAAAGGAAAGACAGTTTGTGCAATTCAAGAGTTTAAATGAGCACACATAAAAATTAAAAAAATAAATTTTTAAAAAATAAAAATTAAAGTTCAATTGACTGGTATATAGGGGTTTTTCAAGCTTCAAAAGAAATTTTGGTGAGGGGAGGGGGAGGAAGAGGGGGGGGTATTCCTAATTAAAATAGAGGACGGTGGAGTGAAGCAGTAAAGGGATAAAGTTGTATATGTAGATGTAATCATCTCCTTTCTTCAATATACTCCTATATACGCTGATATTTTTGAGGGGAAGGGGCAAAGACGATCTTCTTCGGTAGATGGTTTATCAACCAGGAAACTGACTTCCTCTGAAGCACCAGGAAATGCTTCAGAGGGCTTCATTTGTAAACATATTCCTTCAGTTTTTGAGAGATAATGCCTAACTAGCCCTTAAATAAAATATCTCTTTAAATTCGAATTTGCTTATAACCTTTGCCTTTAAAAAATAAATAAATTTAACCCGTCTTTCTCAAAACACAAATTTATAAAAAAAATTCAAAAAATCTACAAAAAATTTTTTCATCTAAAAATAGTCGTGTGTATTACTCAGTTTGCTGCAATCATTTGACATTCCATTTTATATTTGTGTGTGTAAATCTTTGGGGAGAACGTTTGTAGGACTAACAAAACTAATAAACATTGAAATATGTATATTAATCGAATTTTTATTTAAAAATATTTTTATAATATTAACAATTGGTCTTTTTTACATTGTCTGGAGGAAAAATGTTAAAAATAAAAATAAATATAAATAAAAATTTTATAAAAAATTTTTTAAATATTAATTTTATTTAAAATTCTGTTTAAAATTCTTCGTTGTTCTCAAAAAAGTATTTTTAAGTAGCTGGCGGTTCTCGAGATATAAACCTTCTAGTTTTGTCACCTGCTTCTTTAAGGATGAACTACTACCCTATAAAAAAAAATGGGAATCAGAATTTTTAAAATCAGAATTAAAATTAAAATCAGAATTTTAATTTACCAAAACTTTAAAGAATAAATTAATAAACTTAAGTTCAGAATTTTAATTATCAGAATCTTAAGTTTAATAACTCGAGTTTCTGCCCTTAAGTTTATTTTAGCTGAACTTAAGTTTATATTTCAAAACTTAAGCGTAATAAACTTAAGTTTTCAGACTTAAGTTTATTTATCAGAATCTTAAGTGTAATAAATCTTTCTTCTGAAACTTAAGTTTATTAATTTTATTTACCAGAATCTTAAGTAACAAAGATATTAATCATTATAGGACTACTAGTTATCGAACTTAAACTTTAATTTTAAGCTTAATTAATCCAAGTTTAAAGTTAGGTTTTAAGTCGACATTCTCAATTGTCAACTTAAAAATAAAAAATAAAAATTAAAATTTACCGCAAACTTGACATAAACTGTGTCTAGTTCTTTATCTAGTGTATCCAATGTTTCTTTGAGTAATTGAAATATTTCCTTAAAAATAAGTTCCAAAATTAATTTTAAAAATTATTTATTTTATACATTAACACTTTCCGTTCCGCTTAACTCAAACGGATTAAATTTTGTTTTCTCAACTAAATCCTCCAAGCAAATTTCGTTGTTTTCGAGTAATAGAGAGGTTGCTTTATTAAAAATAAATTTTCTTTAATTTTTTTTTGGAATTTATTTTTACCTTTTCTAATCAGCTCGTTTCTTTGTTCTTTATAAAAAATATTTTTTTTAATAATTTTAGAAAATTTAAAATTACCAGGATAGTCAGAGAATACATCTAAAGCATCCTCTTGAGAGAGTAAATAAACCTCTGAATACCCAACAGAACGGAGAGAATAACTTTAAGGAAGATTTTGGTGTTTTAAAATTTAGAAGAAATTACCGTCTCCTCGCTAGCAACTTCCCCAACGGCCCCAAAGGCTTTAATATAGCCATTTCACCAAATATTCCGCCTTGGGTTAATCTGGAATAGTGCTCGCCATTATCAGACAAAATGTCAAGTGTTCCTCTTTTTAATACAAACATGTCCTGTTTAAAATTGAAAATTTATTTTTGAGAATTTAAGTATGTTTTTCTTTATTTTTAAGTGGGAGAATTATCAGAATTTATATTTTTTTAAATTTAATCTTAAAGTTTATAGTCTTAGACATAATCAGAATCTTAAGTTTAATAATTTAAAGGATCAGAATTTTTATGTTAGTATTTTTAAGTATCAGAATCAGAATTTTAAGCCAGAATTTATAAATCAGAATTTATAAATCAGAATTATAAACCAGAATTTTAAATCAGAATTTTAAATCAGAATTTTAGTATCAGAATTTTAAACCAGAATTTATAAATCAGAATTGTAAATCAGAATTTTAGTATCAGAATTTTAAACCAGAATTTATAAATCAGAATTGTAAATCAGAATTATGAACCAGAATTTTAAATCAGAATTATAAACCAGAATTTTAAATCTGAATTATAAACCAGTGTTTTAAATCAGAATTTTAATCCAGAATTTACGAATCAGAATTTGAATTTAAAATTTAATATCAGAATTTTAGTTTCAGAATTTTAAATTTAGAGTGCATAGGTATAAAATAAAATAAAAATATATAAAAAATATTACCTTTGCCAAATCCCCACTCCTACATAGAAAATCGTTCGGAGCAAACTATAAAAATAATTTTTGGAGAGTATAATGAATAAAAAAAATTCGTTTCCAAACCATTTTCATTGTAAACCGAATAACAAGCTCGTATAGAAGAGAAGGTTCACATTCAGTAAAAAGCTCTATACGTCTAAGATTTTCCTTTAAAAATATTTTTTATAATTATTTTGGATTTTTTTATTACCAAATGCAAGTGAACGGCTAATTCTCCTCTTAAGCGTGGAGGAATTGTTCCTAGAACGGCCTTAAAAATAATATCAGAATTTAAGTTTAAAATTTAAGTTCAGAATTTTTTATGTTTAAAAGCTTGAATTATAAATCAGAATATTTTACCAGAATTTTCTGTCAGAATTTTTTCAGAATTTTTATAATGATATTTTATTTTTAAAAATTTAAGGGTCTGAAATAAAAATCAGGATTTATTTTAAAAACTTAAGTTTTAGAATTAAATAAATATATATCAGAAACTTGAGTTTCAGAATTTTAATTTTATAATTATAAATTTCAGAATTTAAGTTTCAGAATTTTATTGTAATTTCTTACGCCTTCGTCCTGTATTTGTGCATGTCTCTGAATATAATTAATACAATCTAAAACTCTTTTTTGCATTGTAGCTGATACATTTCTGGTAAATTTGAAATTTAAAAAATTTATGTATTTATTTGTTACCTATATTTCATATAAAACTTAATTCCATCATTTAATTGTTGTATTTCTGCTCGTCCTATATTCATTGTGCTTACCTTATTTTTTAATTTGTTTTAAAATTTTTTTAAAATCAGAATTTTGAGTTTCAGAATGTTAAGACATCAGAATTATAAATTTCAGAATTTTTAAATATCAGAATTTTAAATTTCAGAATTTTTAAATATCAGAATTTTGAGTTTCAGAATTTTTAGATATCAGAATTTTGAGTTTCAGAATTTTTAGATATCAGAATTTTGAGTTTCAGAATTTTTAAATATCAGAATTTTAAATTTCATAGTTTTAAGGATCAGAATTTTCAGAATTTCTAAAAATAAAAATCAGAATTCTTTATGAATCAGAATTTTTATTTTAGAATTTTAGTTTATCAGAATTTTAAAATTCAGAATTTTAAGTTATCAGAATTTTTAAGGATCAGAATTTTAATATAGTATGTACTTATTCTCTCAAATTTACAAACTTAAAAATAATTATATTTCACTTACAACATTTCCCACACTTCCCACAATAACAGCAAAAACTAAAACACCAACAATTGTATCAAAAATTTCTAAAGAATTATGCATTGCTGCTGTAGGATAAGGTTGTTGTCCGGAAGTAGTTAATGTTAATGAAGACCAATAAAAACTTAGGCTATATTGTTTACTAAAGTTGCTGAATGAAACAAGCATTGAACTGTTAAAGAATATAAATTTATTAATTATTCTGTTTTTAAAACGTGAGGTAAGAAACTTAAGTTACAAAAGTTTAAGTGAGGAGTTAAAAATCAGAATTTTTGTAAACTTAAGTTTTTTATATTAAAATAGAATTTTAAAGAATCAGAATTTTCATAAACTTAAGTTTATGATATTAAAATCAGAATTTTAAAAAATCAGAATTTTTATAAACTTAAGTTTATGATATTAAAATCAGAATTTTAGAGGATCAGATTTTTTATAAACTTAAGTTTATGATATTAAAATCAGAATTTTAATTATCAGAATTTTTATAAACTTAAGTTTATGATATTAAAATCAGAATTTCTGATTGTTATTATTTTAAGTTTTAACAATCAAAATTCAGTTTTAAGCTACAAAGTTTTAAGTATCAGAATTTTCATAAACTTAAGTTTTAGGTCTTAAAATCAGAATTTTATTATTTTTTTCAGAATTTTTGTTTGCTATTCTTTTAAGTTTTACAATCAGAATTTAATTTTAAATTTCAAGTTTATTAAATTTCAGAATTTATAAAATCAGAATTTATTTCAGAATTTCACCGACTAAGCCCTTTTCTCTGGGAAAATTCTTTAAAAATTTAAAATTAACTGAAAAAATTTTTTTAATTTTTAAAAATTAATTAACCGATTTTCCCAATATTTAACCATCTCATTTAAATAATTAACTCTATCAATATCGGGATCACCCAAACCACTTTCATTAAAAAAACAGTGCCCTTCTGGTATTTCTGCCCATAACATTTGACCACAACGTACCCACCAAACATCCTTTAAACTAATTTTTAATTTTATTTTTTTTGAAATTTTACTTGATTTTTTAAATAATTAAATTCCCAAGCAGAAGCATCGGTTGCTTTAAAAATATTTTTTATTTTAAAAATAAACTCTTACTAAAAATTCCATAAATTAAAGAAATTTTAAAATAAAGAGCAGCATTCCAATGAAATAAAACAACACACACAACAACTATGTGGAGAATACGAAAAGCATTTGGATAATTAGTACGTACATTTGTCATCTTTGAAAAAAAATTTCTAGAGAAATTATTTTGAATTTATTTATAATTAGGCAAAAGACAGAATTTTGATTATACCTTTTAGAATTTACCAATCAGGATTTTAATTATTTTCAGAAACTTAAGTTTCTGAAATAAAAACCAGAATTCTTTTTAGGAATTTAAGTTTGAGAAATTAAGATTCTGAAATTAAGAATTAGTATTTATTTTATAAACTTAACTTAGAGAAACTTAAGTTTTATAATTCTGAATGTCAGAATTTAAAAATCAGAATTTTAAAGTTTCAAGTTTAAGCTTATAAATCAGAATTTTAATTAATTCAAAAACTTAAGTTAGAAACTTAAACTTAAGTTTCTGAAATTAAAAAAAATTCTGATTTTTAATTTCATAAACTTAAGTTTATGAAATTAAACATCAGAATTTTTTAGGAACTTAAATTTCAGAATTAAATAAATCTGAAACTTAAGATTTTATAATTCTGAGTGTTATAATTTAAAAATCAGAATTTTAATTATTTTCAGAAACTTAAGTTTCTAAAATAAAAACCAGAATTCTTTTTAGGAACTTAAGTTTGAGAAATTAAGGTTCGAAATTAAGAATCAGAAATTATTTTATAAACTTAACTTTCAGAAACTTAAGTTTTGTAATTATTCACCTCAGAATTTAAAAATCAGAATTTTTGCATTTTACAAACTTAAAAAATAGTTCGTGTCTCTATATTTATTACCTGTACAAATTGCCATACTCTATAGCATTTTGCTAATCTATTAAACCGAGAAAGCGAAATTCCTTTGTTTATCAATAAAATTAAATCAAAGGGAAGTAGAGCAAGTAAATCCATTAGAAAATGAAAACTTTAAAAAAAATTTTTTAACATTTTTTACTTCACTAAATTACCTATGGAAATATTTTTTAGCTAAACGTTTCAAGTCAGTCACATGCATTCCATCGTCAATATAAGCTTTAGCAGGATTTAATTTTTATTTAATTTTAAAATTTTAAAATTTATGGATATAGTACAGTCGAAATATTTATAGATACTAAAGTTTCACCGGAAGTTCTTGTTCCGATGTAACACTAATAGATACGTCCTTGTGGTTGGAAAATTTGTATAAATATGCAGATCGAGTAAATTAATACAGAAAAAATTGAACGTAAAAATGAGGTGTATCCAAACTTAAAGGAAAAACTTAGCTAGATACCCCACCCACCGGGCAATCAAATTAAAAATCGTGTCTATAATTAAGGGTTTATTTTTAATAAGGGTTTATTTCTATAATTTAAGGTGATCTAGCAAATACAAAAATAACTTCCCAATATCGAAAACTAGGAACCATGTGGATTTTTAAATTTTGTGACTCTTAGAACTGGAAAATGGTGTCTTACGCCCAATGCAAAAAAAATTTTTTTTGGCTTGTAGAGACTTCCAAGACTCTTGGTCTTGAGTCCTCGAAAATTTTCGGTCTTGGAAGAGTAAAGCAGCTGGGCTATATCTATTTCTCTCCTTTAGCTAGTGCAAAAGGTTAATCGGCGGCTGGGAGCGAACCAGCATCATCAGTAGACCGGACTGTTGTGTTAGCCATTACACCACGACGCCTACTGCTCAGCCTTAGGAAATTAATAGCTATATGCTTTACAAAGTCTCTAGTGCCTTGTATAAAGGTTTTGGATGTAAGCAAAATCGGGCTAGTCAACTGTACTCCAAAAACAAAATAATTAAAAATTAAACTAACACAATCTTGAATTCATTAATAAATCGAATAAATTAATAAAATCGCTTAAACCTGATTAAAAAATTAAAAATCAAAATTATTCCCCAACCAACCATTTAATAAAATCCAAAAAATAAATAAAGGGCTCCCTTCTCTAGTATCATCAAAAACAAATAAAACACAAACAAAAGCGTTGTATAAAAATACTAAATAAATTAAAAATGTCCAACAAGCATAAAATGTTCCGTTTGGGTTTATTGAGGTTGTTGATATTGAACTGTTAAATGAATTTTTTAAAATTATATTTGTATAAGGAGATTCATACTGAAATATTTAAAACGCTTAGAGGCAGGATTAAGCTATAAGGATAAAAAATGCAGATTAGTCGTTGGCCAGTAACTTTGGTGGTTTAACACCTGCATAGCAGGGATGTGCCGAGACATCCCTGCTATTCACCTTTAGCGAAAGGTGAAAGACGGAAGGCGAAACACACCCCTTGTTGCATAGGTGTGAGCAAGGCCAAGCGAGCAATATCAGCGTCGTCGCAGGTTCGGATCCTGCCTAGCGGCTAAACTTATTCTAAACTCATACTTCTGGACCTCATAACTCTCAATTTAAATACATTCTCAATTTAGGATAAGTTTTTTTTAAAGGTTGGTTGGCTACAGAAGCTATCTAAGCAATATTCCTAAGTAAGGTACATCCAAATTTACTATAAAAGCCCCGACATTTTTTTATTTCCAACACCTCTACAAAACAATCATCACATCTCTTCAAACGTCTACATCGTCTACAACACTCTTCATGCTCTGCCTTCTTCCATTGGAGCTCGACACCGGACCCTGGACCAGAAAGTCGTCATCGCTGTGCTCTCTGCTGCTGCTGCTCACCATCGCCGCACTTGCAGTTCTCGGACAGGACAAAATCGAAGAAGTCGGACTTGGCAATCACACAATGATTAACAAGCAAGTGACGCTCGCCGCCAACACCATAATTGCCAGCAGGACAAACTTCGACCTTGCTGATTTTAACTACAGAAAGCTGTATCCGGACGCATGCGATGTTACAATCGAAGACGACTACATGTGAGGACTTTTTTATTCTTTGTTAAGGCTAATTGTAACTAACATTTTATTTTGTTTCAGCGAGCTTCGGTACAACTATGGCAGCAAAGGATGCACTGTGGACCTGCTCAGCGAGAACAAGGCGAACATCAACATCATCAAATTCACGACCGGAGTGCGAAACCCAAAAGGTGGAAATCTCAGCAAATGCCTTGATGAGGGTTTCATCTTCAGCAAAACCAATAATAATATGTAAGTTTGCATTTTTCTTTCAACAAAGTAATTAGCTTAATTCCCTTACTTTTTACAGCCTGCCTTTCGTCTACAGCAAAAACAACACGATCATCGATAAGCTCAACAGTGGCTGGCACAATGAAACGAAGGAGCAGTGCAATGTGGATATGTGCGGTACATGCATGCTGTGGACATTTCTTGAAGTCTCGTGGTGTAGGGCTAAGAAGCAAGTGTCAGCTTATACTCATATAGGTGAGACTCGTTTTACATATTTGTTAATACATAATTTATCATAAACTCTTTTAAGTTGGGGAAAAGGTGTCTCAAAGCGTGCAACAGGACCGGCTGATGGTGGATGGTGAGATGACCCTCAATCTGACGATAAGTTCTACGAGCACGTTCACGATGGACTTCACGAAAGAAAAGACATTCAACGCTACGGAGGATGCTGCTTGCGTGCCAAAGAAGGATCCAATCGTACACCCGGAAACATGGACGATCACGAATGAAGAGCACATGGGCAAACACCTGCTTGTCTTCAGCCTGCTTCGACAAAACGCAACTTTTGTGTACGTTGATGGTCAACGCTCTAAATCTCCAAATGGACCGCATTGTGAACTCTTCGTTCAATTTGTGAGTTTTGATTTTTTACCTTTATGTAGCTCCTTTGTTCAATTTTTATACTAATTTCATTTTTCCAGGCTACGACCAACTACAGCCTGCTCGTTGTCAACACCTCTGCAACAACAACGCCACCGACTACGACGACTACCGCAGCGACCACAGGAGCTCCAACAACGGGAACATCAGAGCCTGGGACGACAACAGACTCCTCCAGCTCTTCAGCAACAGCTACAAAATTCATCCAGACGACTTCTCGAACAACGACAAAGTGCCCGGAACAACAGGAGTGTGGCGGAGGTCTCTACTTTGCAATTGGCGTTGCTGCTTCTGGCGTCTTTTTCGGGATCATCATTGCAGTTTTGGTCTGGCTCTTGATGAAGGAGAAAGCAGGAAAGGATAAGAAAAAGGGAGGGAAGCAGGACGCTGAAAGTGCAGAAGAAGAACGTCTGCTTTCGCTGTACAAGGCTGAGGAGAAGACCAAAGGCAAAGAGGCCATCGGGACATTTTCTGCATGGAAAAAGAATGTGAGTTTAAAACATTCTTTTGTACCAATCTTATATTTTTCCATTTTTCAGAGAAAGGAGAGCGAAATGAAGACCGCGGTGGAGCTGTCTTCAGTCGAGGAGCGGCCGACAACTGAGGAGAGGGAGAGAATGGAGGAGAGTAGAGGCGCCGCTGGCGGTGTTGAGGTTCCAAAGTCTGTGGAGGAGGAGGTTGATGAGAGGTGGATTCCGCAGCCGGAACAGGATAATAACCCGAAAGAGGGGATCCAGTTGTGATAAATTTGTGTCACCATATATTGCTCTCATTGTATGTATTGTATATTTCTTGTTGTTTGTATTGTATTTGAATTGTTGTATTTCATTGTATTTTTGTGTGTAGATAAATTGGTTATTTGTGTTTGTTGATGTTTTTTAATTGATAAATTAGGGAATGCCCCCCCCCCCTATTTTAGTTACCCCCACCTAACTCAAAAATTTATTGCTAATTTGAAAGACTTCTGCGGCCTTGCATGTCGACATTTGCGAACAAAGGAAAATTTTTTTGACAGAAAAACTTAAGTTCTAGCTCACCTTCCTTTACCTTTAGTAAGAGCGAGGTAATAAAAGTTTAATTCCCGATCCTGCGACCTCCTGGCAGTTATTGCTAGGCGCTTTCGCTCACCACGTACAGGTGCTCTACCAACTGACAAGGGAACATTCCGAACTGTCAGTAAAAATTTCTAAATAAAAATTATACCATCGTGTAGAGCGTGGTCGAAAACGTATTATGGTTACTTTCTTTTTTGGCTCCGACCCCCATTTCGAAAAGTTATAGGGGTTCAAAGTTTCCTACTTTTGGAACGGTTGAGTCTCCCTCACTACTTTTATTAAAGAAAATTTTTCTCCTCCATAAGAGAAAAATAAGACTCCCATCCTTCTTTTTTCTTTTCCTTTTCTTTTCCAACATTAGTTAGAGAAAGAGAAAAGGGGGAGAGAAAAGAAAAGGAAAAGAAGCGTCTCTGCCTTGCAGCTAATGTCAATTAAAAAGGAAAGAGGAGAGGGCAGAGATGCCTCTTTTCCTTTTCTTTTCTCTCCTCTTTTTCTCTTTCTTTAGCCAGCACAGGAAAAGAAGAGGGAAAAAATAAAAGAGAAAAGGAGTCTCATTTTTCCCTTTAGGAAGAGAAATAATAAGAAAAGTGAGGGAGACTCAACCGTTCCAAAAGTAGGAAACTTTGAACCCCTATAACTTTTCGAAATGGGGGTCGGAGCCAAAAAAGAAAGTAACCATAATACGTTTTCGATCACGCTCTACACGATGGTATAAGTTTTATTTTGAAATTTTTACTGACAGTTCGGAATGTTCCCTTGTGAGCTACCGGGACGCTGCCTTCTCTTTTAATAGACTTTAAACCCCCGTCCAGTGAGCGTTTTAAATGCTAGCCAGCTGGAACTTTCCCTTCCTTACACTTACCTTAATTTATTTTTAATTGTTTTAATCCACTTCATTATTAACATTAAAATTTTATTCCTTTCCAAGCAAACTTCAATTAATCCACTTTCTGGATCTACAGTATTCGTTAGATTTTCTAACTCGTTCTGTTCAGTTCTAGAAAATTTAAAAAATTATTTTTGACCCTTAAATTCTCTTATCATTCCACTTTGGACAAAATGGTCAAAAGCCATAATGGACAAGGAAGTTTTTTAATTTTCGTGTTTACGGATACTTGTAATGAACTAAGGGAGTGTTTCTATTTAGTGTTTCCGACTACTCTATTAGACCGACCCCTTCTAATAAACCGACCCCCTAGAGGAAGGTTGAAAAATAGACCGCCCGGTCGCACTATTAGAAGAAATACGGTATACTTGTATATCCATATCATTACCAAATCAGAACCTACGAACTCTTGTTCTTGGATAGTCCATAAAAATTTAGAAAAATAATCTAACGTTTTTTTACCTATTTTCCCTTAAAATACTTCCATTACTCTTCCCAGCATTTAACAAATCTTGTTCTCCTGGCGTTCCGTTTTCTTCATTTTCTACTGTATTTTCTTTGTTATTTTTATTTTCGACTTGTAAAACAAGAGGTAATTGAGTTGGATTACTTGCTGTTGATATTTTTGCTTCTTAAAGGTAAAAAAATCTTAAGATGTATCACAGATAGGGCGGTATCCTTAACTAGCTTCATCACCCTGTGGACAACAAATTTTAGAAAGATCATCTTAATGGCAGTGTCGAGGGTGTGCCGAAAATGCAACTAATTTTAAAAAGCTAAAGACAGGCAAGGCGAAAATAGCTACCGTAAATTCTCTATTAGAATGGCCTTTTGAAGGTGATTGAAAAATAGAATGGCCGGCAATTCTATTAGAGAACTCACGGTATATGCAGGAGGCGCATGGGGGTAATTGAGCATCAGGTCAACTGCGCAGCACAAATTTTGTTTTACTTTCTCTAGTAATAGGTCTACCTTATAATGAGTTGTTTTTAAATAAAAATAATTTTTTTTAAATTTATTGCTTGTTTTTCTAAAATAAATGAAGCAAATACCTATTCTAAATTATAAAAATAAGGTAAAAAATTTTTTTCTCGAATAATAAACTACTAATTAGGGGAGAAAATCCTATATTTTATATTTTTTACAAAAAAAACTCACTCAAAGCAGCAAAACTACTTTGTGACGGAGATCTCCCCATTTCTTTGAGTAAGCGTAAGCGTTCCATTGTAATAGGCTTTGAAAATTAATTTTTTTTTAATTTTAAAAAATATTTAATTTAATTACCATAGGCTCAAAAACGAGCGAAGTATTAACCTCATTAGTAAGAGCATTTGCTTCTTCTTTTAAGCGTTCTCTAGTTTTGTCGCGTGGACGCAACCAAGTTTTAACGACCTTTTTAAAAAATTATCTTATGGAAAAATAAATAGAGATTTTTTGGATTTTCTCTGAGAAGGCTATGAAACTCGAAAAAACCTTCTTGAAGATGATTCTGGTAAATGTCCAGTTGGCGGTCTACATGTCCGCAAAGAGAATCTGCTCTTTTCTTACCTTTTCTTGCATTTTTTGCGTTGGGAGACGTGCTCCGTTAATTTTTCCTTTCTATTCTTTTTTCTTCTCAATACAGTATGTTTCCCTTTCCTACTTTCAAAATAAAAATAATACCTCTAATTTAAAAAATTATTTTTTTTACAAATTATAAATATTAAATTATAAAAATTACAATGATAAATTCTGAAATTGAGGATTATTGCTATCTTATAGCAACTTTCTATGGCTTTCTAATAAGCCCAAAATAATAATTTAAAAAATTTCAAACAATATTTCAAGAGACACCTTTCTACGTTTACTTTTGAGTTATCAGATAGATATCGAGTAAAGATATTGGCCCAGATTTATATCCATCCTCCTCCCAGTTTTTACTATCCGCCCTATATCTTAAATAAATCTATTTGAGAATGTTACCCAATATTTATAATTTGTAAAAAAATAATTTTTTAAATTAGAGGTATTATTTTTATTTTGAAAGTAGGAAAGGGAAACATACTGTATTGAGAAAAAATGACAGAAAAGGAAAAATGAACGGAGCACGTCTCCCAACGCAAAAAATGCAAGAAAAGGAAAGAAAAGAGCAGATTCTCTTTGCGGACATGTAGACCGCCAAATGGACATTTACCGATGATTCTTAGGTAGGTAGATTTATTAAAAGAGAGCTCTTAGAGGGAGGGACGTCAATAGTTTGGGGAAACTTGAAATTCTATTGAATTGGATTTGGATTGGAGAGAAGAAAAATCTATTGAATTGAAGATAGAATAGAACCACAATCGAATAAGCTCAGACAGAGCACATCCAGATGTGGCTCCATCTAACCCTAAGATGAGCTAATTTATATCCCTTTGTGTAAATTACCTCAAAACGAGTTTGTTCTTGCTCTGACATATTAAGAGTAATATTATATGTATACCCAAATTTATTCCCGTTTTTATCTTGTAATGATCTTGTAATGAGTGAAATGTGGGGAGGGAATATGCTTTAGGGAATTTGAGGAAATCTGGTAATAGGCGAAACTTGGGAAGGGAATCCTCACAATATTTTTTCAAATTAAAATTTACTTTTACAACAAAGGACTAATTTTAAAAAAAATTTTCAGAGGTTTCTTTTAATTAAAAAAATTTATTTCCCCACCATTGCAACAGCAACAACTTCGTGCATATGCAAAGGGCGCCATTCTTCATTATTATCTACAAATTTATTTTCTTCCTGAGGAGTGATAACTTCTTTTTGTAAAGTTTCAGCTTCTTGTAAAGTTTCAACTTGGACCGCCATTTAATTTTAGAAAAAAATTTTTTAAACAAATTTTATTCAATAAATGTACTTTTTTTGTTTAATTTCCCTCTCATTTCCATTATCCAAATTAAAAAATAAAAATAATGAGCAATATGAAGAAGATTGTTTTTTACATAGTAACCATAGAGATGATGTCTTTTAATAATTGCTAATTTTATATTTTTATCTCTTAATAAAATTAAATTGAAAAAAAGTGACGAGAGAAATGTTTAAAAATGGAAAGAATAAAATCGTAAACTTAAAAACTTAAAATTGCAAACTTGAAAGTTGTCAAGATCGTACACCTAAAAAGTCAAGACTGTAAACTTAAAATTTAGAATCGTAGACTTAAGATTTTAAGATCATAAACTTAAGAATGAAGGCAGCAAACTTTAGAGTTTAAGATCGAAAACTTAAAAACTTAAGATCGCAAGCTTGGAAGGTTGTCAAGATCGCACACTTAAGAAGTTAAGACAGTAAACTTAAAATTTAGAAGCATAGACTTAAAATATTAAGATCGTGAACTTAAAAAATTAAGTCAGCAAACTTTAAAGTTTTAAGATCGAAACTTGAAAACTTAAGTTTGCAAACTTGAAAGGTTGTCAACTTGTCCACCTAAAAAAGTTAAGACAGTAAACTTAAGACTGTAAACTTGAAATCTAATCGTAGACTTAAAATTTCAAGTTCGTAAACTTAAAGAATAAAGGCAGCAAACTTTAGAGTTTAAGATCGAAACTTAAGAACTTAAGTTTGTAAACTTAAGTTTAAAACTTGGCAACAAAACAAACAACAATAGGACAAGTTTAGACAAGTCAAAATTTTTTGCTATAAAAGCCGTTAAAACTTCTTTACTTAAATCTTCAGTTCTCATCCAGTTGGCCATTGTTGGTTGATATTTCTCACAGCCTGCTTCGACTAACATGATGTACAAAAAACCTCGTAAACCTGGACATATTCAGTCCCTCATCAAAAGGTGCAAACACTTCATCAGTCGGAGCTTCTTGAATATTCGAAGAGGGACGGCGACAACTTCTCTGTTTGTCAGTCGACGAAGGGCAAAGCAAAAATACCGTCCTCGCTATGTACCTAGTATCTGTAAGTTTTTAGATGTTTTCTCTGTTCAAACTTAATTCAAAAATTTAAGATTCGGTTTCTTCATTGTCTCCTGTAAATTCTAGCGTTGCGTTTGGTCGAACTCGTAAGTTTTTAAATTTTCTCTTAAATTGGCCAACACAAAAATTTAAGGCAACAGCCGGGGAGTTCAAATTTCTTCTTCTTACGTCTCTGCCCCAGATTCAGATTCTATTTTCTCACCACGAGGAGGATATAGCTTGGTGGATCTAAACGATTTGGATATTCCTGTAGTTGAAGCAACAACAACCAAACAAAAACATTCAAAATCCAATTACTTCAATGGAAGATTTTGTACATCTTCGGCAGTGTATGGGGTTGAGGTGCCGAATACAAATTCTTCATCTCGAAGTTCTACTCTGAGTAGCTACAGTGGTTATTTTGAGAAAAATGGTGAGGATTTTTGATTTCTAAGAAAATTAATATCAGATTCGCAAACTTGAAAATTCACAAACTTAAGTTCACCAAGTTGCGAATAAAGTAATAAACCGAAAACTTAAGTTTACCAACTTGATAGAAACTTAAGTTTACCAACTTGGTATAAACTTAAGTTTACCAACTTGATAGAAACTTAAGTTTACCAACTTGATAGAAACTTAAGTTTACCAACTTGATAGAAACTTAAGTTTACCAACTTGATAGAAACTTAAGTTACCAACTTGAGTGAAACTTAAGTTTACCAACTTGATAGAAACTTAAGTTTACCAACTTGAGTGAAACTTAAGTTTACCAACTGATAGAAACTTGTGTTACCAACCTAAACTTAAGTTTGCTAAGCAACAAAACTTAAGTTTACCAAAGTTCACAAACTCAGAAAAATAAAAGACTGAAAATTTTAAGTTCACCAACTTGAAAATAAATAACAAATCACAAACTTAAGTTTACAAACAAACATAAATTTTATTTCTTTAGGAGTCCAACTAGACGAAGAAACGATGTCCTATACTTCCAACGTTAGAGGCTCCTATGATGATTTGGACATTGATGCTGTAATGGATGACAAAACGTTCACTCTACAACGTTCATATTATCTCAGTTCGTCTCCACCATACTATCTTGATGGATCTTGTACTGCCTCCGTTCGTAGTCATTATGTTGGGGAAGAAGGTAGAAATTTTTTGGAAAAATTTTTTTGAAAATTTTCTTCGAAAATTCTCAAAAAATTTTTTTTCTAGGTGATTCGTTCACTTCTAACCAGTCACATTACATGGATGAACTGGATGTCCTGGAAGAACCTTCATATCCAGACAGTGTACCACCAAATAGATATGCTAGCCTGCTAGGAATGTCCTCAACTTTCGACTTTAGCAATGTCGGCGAGGAAGGTGAATTTTTTGAAATAAAACCAGAAAACATTTTTCTTCACCTTTAGGGTATTCTTTCGATTCTAACCCATCACACTATGTGGATGGACGTGAGAGTGTGGAAGAGTTCTGTCCAGACAGTGTAACACCCCAGAATAGTTACATCAGCCTACTATTATGTATGTCGTCATTTCCGGACTTTAGCGCTGTGATTGAGAAATTCCACCAACAACAAACACAACATCCCCCATCCAACAAATTGCGACTGGATGCAAGATATGGGGTAGAAGTTCCTCCAACTGTTTCTTCTTGTAGTGTTGGGACAGATGGTGAAATTAGAATTTTTGGATTTTCTGATTTTCTCTTTTAGCCTTCACTGCTGACGGATACACAACTACTAGGGAGACGCAATCGGTGACTGGACTAGAAGATGAATTGAACCTTGAGGATTCTGGAATAGACGACAACATCAAAGAAGAACCCTTGAAAGAGACAAAGACAAATAACAGTTTTTACTGTTATCCTCCAAGCAACTCAAGTGCCAGTGCTTACAGTCTAATGGCTCTGGATGAGTTGAACCTTGAGGATTCTACAGAGGAAACCAAGCAAATAACGGTCAAATCTTCAAACCTCTACCCCAAAAAACACCGGTCTGTATTCGATGGCGTTGTTGTTCCTAAAACAGATGAGTCTCTGAGTTGTATTGAGGAAAGTTCTGGTGTACATTATGACTTTAAAGGTGAGAAGAGAAAAATTTTTGAAAATTAAAAAAAATTTTTTAAGTTGATAAAGTTGGGATTACTGTTGACGACTACAAAGGAGATCCTAAGATTACAAAAAAGGTTCAACTGTCTTCTCTTCGTCGAACCAAATCTTGTGGGGATATGCCAAAATCATTTGCTTTCAAGCCAAGTGATGTTGAAACACAAGGCAAGTTTTAAGTTCACAAACTTAAGTTTATAAAAATTTTCAAGTTTACAAACTTAAATACATTATAAGCTTGAACTTGAAAACTTAAGTGTGTCTTTTCAGTTGTACCCGAAACAGGAGGTATAGCTCTGTATAGTCCTTCAAACTGTGCTTCTTCGTACTACATTGAAGACAGCAGTAAAGGTTCGATTCGTATTTGTTTAAAATATATCTACAAATATTTTAATTTTTAGAATTCTTCTCCTGCTCCTCTGATTCATGGCTGGACAAAGAATATTTTGTGGACAGTGCATTGGCTAGAGCTATATTTGATGCTCGACCACAAGAGATAGATTCTGATCCTTTATTCTCTGGAGAAATGGTAACAAACAAAATCAAGATTAAACTTGAAAAACTTAAGTCTAAGCTTAACTAAAACTTAAGTCTAAGGGCTTAAATTTTGAAGCTTGCAAATTTGAGTTTACCAACTTAAAAAAGTTTAATTACAACCTGACTACATTTTTACAAACCTAAGTACATTATAAGCTTGAACTTAAAAACTTAAGTTTACCAACTTAGAAAAAGTTTGACAAGCTTAAGTGCAATCTAACCACAATTAACTTGAAAACTTAAGCTTACCAACTTTAAAAAAGTTTGACAAGCTTAAGTGCAATCTAACCACAATTAAACTTAAAAACTTAAGTTTACCAACTTTAAAATAATCACAATATTTAATTCAGGAGAATAATGTCCAGCTGCAATATTACAATCTATTCAAAGCTCAACAACAATTCCGCAACTGCGCCATGGACGCTTCAAATATGAACTCGTTTCTGCAACTTCTTCAATGCTCTTTCCCTTCGGATAGCACCGATCGTTTGCTAGACAAATTATTTTTCGACTATCGCCAACTCGTATGCCAAAAGCAGAATGAAACTAACTTTGGGAATGACAAATGGGATGAGGAATATTTTTGGTTGTGAAGGGTATATGGAAGGATATAAAGAAGTGTGTGATAGATAGATATATTTGTTGTCATTTCTCTCATAATTATTTAGGGATTTGTTGTATATTTACTCATAACATTAATATTGTTGATAATATATTTTGTTTGTAAGATTGTAAATGTGCAAATATTATTGTGAAAATATAATCATTAAAATGTTTTCGAGTTAGTAGATTTTTACGAGAATCTCAAATGTTGCAAGAAGCTTTGCTGACCGGGGTCGTGCGCCAAAAATTTAATTTCAAATTTTAAAAACACGCCAAATATCGGCCAAAAGGCCGGGAATTTATTCCAGTAATTTCATAAGCTAAAGTCAAATAGTAGTACCTGCACTTGATTAAAATACTATAATATTTTTTCCATTCCTCCTGTATTTCTTTTGGGGCGGTATTTAAAAAAGCGGGTTGGAGAACCTGGTAAGTTTACCAGGTTCTTGAGGGTTAACCCTTATTTAAAAAAAATCGACCCAGAATCGATGACTACCCGCAGCTGCGGGTAAACTAACCCACAACTCTCTTTTATGAATATCACCCAAAATTTGACCCGCTTTTTTGAATACCGCCCCTGAATTAAACAAATATTTTTTTAAATTATTAATAGTAAGAGCGAGGTAAAAGTTTAATCCCGGGCAGGCTTCGATCCTGCGACCTCCTGGCAGTTATTGCTAGGCGCTTTTGCTCACCAAATACAGGTGCTCTACCAACTGAGCTACCCAAAATTTGACCCGCTTTCACCTCCTCTTATAATAGATCTTAAACCCCCGCAGTCAGCGTTTTAAATGCTAGCCAGCTGGATCTTTTCTCTCTTTCTCTTCCTTACATAATGATGAATATTGAAATATTTAAAAATTCTTTTAAGATTTCAGTTCGGATCCTACTACTGGGAAACATCTTCCCGAACTCCTTGAAAAAATCTTTCTTGGTTAAATAAATTCCTAGCTAATTGGCCTTCATAAAATCTAAAAAAATTTCCTTACGTTGCTGAAAAGGACTTGAAAACTTAAGTAAAAAACTTAATAGCTATCCTAAAAAATCTTAAAACTATCTTAATCATAAAATTATTTTTTTAAACTATTTTCCACGAAAATTATTCCCTAGATTTTTTATTCATAGATACCGAAATTAGACCGAAAATACTGAAAATTTTGATATTCTTTTGTCAAAAATTAACCGGTTTTACAAAATTTAAAATACCGAAACTCTGAAAATGAATTTTTTTAAAAACTCGAAAATATTAAGGGGAGCTACCTAAGTTATATCCCCAAAACCCTTATATCCCCAATATCCCCAATATCAATTTTAAAAACACGCTAAAAATCGGAAGGATGCTAAACGCCAAGATTTATAGAGGCCAGTTCAAACAAAAAAAATTTCGGAAATTTTGAAAAAAATCAAAAATTGATAAATGGAAATCGAAACTTCAAAACTTTCCTCATCTTTTGAAATATTTAAAAATTTTTAGATTTCAGTTCGGATTCTACTACTTTTTATCCCACTACATTTTCCCGAACTCCTTGGAAAAATCTTTCTTGGGCATTCCCATATTTTTTGTTGTGCTAAACAAGGAAGATTCCTGTCTAACTAGTCTTTATAAAATCTCTTAAATTTTTTCTTAAAGTGATGAAAGGAGGAATAGTGGCTTATTTTCCTCCCCGAAAATTATTCCCTAGATTTTTTTTTATTGCGAGATAGCGGAAAAAATAAATGAAACTAAACAACCCCCATCGGATTGGATGGAGGCGCAGTCGGTTGGTTTCGGTTTGAGCTGTTTCCATGATGGTTCTAGATAAAAAAAACTACATTTTTTCTACAAATTTCCACTTTTTGTATTCAAAAAATTTCTTTCTTAATTTTTTAATAAATTGTCCCATAATTAATTTATTATAGTCTTTTTTTAAAAAACATCCCCAGACACCTTTAAATTGACTTGGAAAGTTAAACTGCAACAAAGTCCTTTTCTGATATTTTTTTAATGTCTTTCTAATTTTAATATATGTACCTATGATAAAATAGGGTTGTTCACCACCGGTTTAAACTTGAAGATTTTGATATTTTTTGTCAAAAATTAACCGGTTTTACAAAATTTAAAAAACTAAACTCTGAAAATGAGTTTTTTAAATTATTTTTTAATTAAGAAAGATGTAAAGATATCATAGCTGTTTTGAAACAAAAAAATTTTCGAAAATCGTAGATCGAAAAAACTTCAAAAATATCAAAATCAGAAACATGTAGGGGAACTACCTAAGCCATACCCGGGACTGGGCGATTTCGCATCTTTTGCATTTTTCACATTTTTTGGCGCAAAAAGTTTCGCATTCACATTTTATTTTTTGATTTCGCCCAGCTCTGATATATCCCCGATATCAAATACTTGTCATTCTTATTGAGATTTTTCAGCTCAAATTTTTATCCTTATGTATAAGGATTAGATTAGGAATTAAAAACAAACACAAAATTAATATTCCATACAAACATATATTTATCACAACAATCACAATACAATTACAATATACAGAAAAATACATATACATACAATACAATATATAATGAGATATAGCAGGGAATATAAATCAACCTGCAAATATATAGGGAATATAGGGAAATATATATAGGGAAATTTGTGTATATATAAGGAAAATACAACTAATACATATATATAGATGGGCATATAGCCTAATAGGTGAATATATGGGTATAGGTGAATATAGGGTATATAGGGAATATAGATAGAGGCATATAGCCATTATAGAGAGAAATACAATTTTTGTTGAGAGATTTGGAGAATATTGGGGAGGAAAATAATTAGATAGAGAATGAATGATTTTCACAGATTATTTACAGATTATATTCTCTATATTTATCTCCAATATATCTTCTCAACTTCTCTCATCTCCTAGTTTTGTCCTAGCCGCAACCTTCTTCATCTCCACAATTTACTGGTCCGTCTCTTTAGCCTCCGACATCATATCCGTTGGAATATCCGATGTCGTGCCTGCCTGTTTGCTCTTCACAGCGTCTGACTTCTCCGGTGCCGGGTCTTTAGGAGTCGATTCCTTCGGGTCTACTTCCTTTTTCGGTGCCGATTCCTCCTTCTGGGCCGGGTCCTTTGGAGTCGATTCCTTCTTCGAAGCTGAGTCCCTCGGAGTTGTGTCACCCTGAAAATTTTTTTCAATATATTTTAAATTTTTATAAATTCACCGTTTTCTTCCATTCCCTGTATGTGCCAACAGTTTTGAAGCCTTTTTCCTTCAAGTCTGGCAGATAGCATTTGAAGAGAATATTATAGTTTTTTGCCGCATTGTCCTCATCCTCCTTCTTCATCCTGTCAAAAATCTCCTTGACGAATTGATCTTCCAAGGAAGGAATTTTTGCTTTAGAACGGGTCATGTTTTCATCAGCAATCCTCTTTTCGTCTCCAAAGTTGGACCAAAAGGCTCTGAAAATATAGAAAAGATTAGCTATTTTACTTCACTCTTTCTCCATTACCTCTCTTTCTCGTCCTCTTCTTTTATCTTTTGATTTTTTCGGTAGAAGTAAAACCCGACAGCGCCGCCAATTACAGCAATCACCACAAAAATCACAAAGATCCAAATCCAGGCACTGCTTCCTCCTTCGGTGGCCGCTACTTCTTGAACTTTTTGTGTAGTCTTTTGCTCTGGTGGAGTTTGAGTTGCCTTGACAGTAGGTTGTGGTTTGGGACTTGGTGTTGGTTTGGGTGTTGTTGTAGTTGTGCTTGTAGTCGTTGTTTGAGGGTCGACCCGAAGAAACTCGTAGCCATCGTCTGTTCTGTTCTAAAAGATAAAAATTTAGTTGAATTTTAGAAGGATTGTAAGGTATTACAAAGCGAATGAAGAGATCACATTTTGGTCTGACTCTCGTAGAATTCATGGATTTGCCTTCGTCGTGCAATCGTGTAGCATTTTGTGGAAGTAGATGGAATACGAGCAGATGTTTGCCTTGCAGGTCTCCAACTCCATTTTTGATTTCCCATGATGATGGTTCGACAATGGCCCTCTTGTTTTTTGGAGTGCAGTTAATCTTGTTTGCCACTAAAGATTTTTTCATGTTTTCGTTAAACAACATTTTGAAGCTGTTATTAGCATATATCTCCAGATTGAATTCCGTCTTATCACCACCTTGTTCTTCTTCCACTTGATCCAAGCTTGAAGAAGCTGATACAACTTCACCAACTAAAATAAATGTTTTACATTAAAAAATAGGTAATCGTCTTCTTACTTAAATGGGTTTTAGCGGATACATCACCACCACATTTCCTCCATGAGACTTCAAGAAATGTATCCTTCATGCACTTGCCCCCCACACATCTTACTGTATCGCACTCGGTATTACCATCGTAGAATGGACCATTGGTGTAATTTTTGATGTCCTTTTTGCTTTTGCTGTAGGCGAATGGCAGGCTAAAATGTATTATTAGATGGTCTAAATCGACATTTAGCTTTAACTTACAGATTTGAAAGTCCCTTTAATCTGTCTTCACCGTCGTCGCACTCCAGGTTACAGCCATCTTTAACGTATCCAGTCGTGAATTTGATCATTTCCACTTTCTTTTTAGCGATCAATTCCACAGTGCACCCTTTGCCTTCGTATAGAAGCTTACTGAAAAATTAAAACATTTCTTCAAATTTTAAGAACGAATCAGCTTACATGTGTTCCTTGGTGATCAAAAAATTACAGACAGTGGGAAAACGCTTCACGTACTCGGCATATTTCAAGTCATCGCTGGCCAGCTTGCTGTCTAATTCGAGCGTTACACTGCTTCCATCCTTGGTGTGATTGGCAACTCCGACTTCCTCACCGTTGGCCTGTCCAGGAACTGCAAGCAGCAGGAGCGCGGCGATGGATACCAGCAGCAGAGCACAAAGCGTTGTCGACTTCCTTGCCAAAGGTCCGGTGTTGTGGTCCATTGGATGAAGTAGGCGGAAGAGCATGAAGCGTTGTTTTGTTGTTTGTTTGGACGATGTTGACGTAGAGTTGATGTGGTTGAAGATTTTGTTGTGTTTGGAGAGAAGAATGAAACGGTCAAAAAAACTTTTATAGTAAATTTTGGTTTATTGAAGATTGTCATATTCATGAACCTTTAGAATTTAATTGTAAATTCTAAGAATGCTTAGTTAATCAGGACAATTATTTTGAAAAAATGAAAGAAGTGATTTAGCCATGCTTCACTTTATTGAAATTCCTTTCGTTTCATGTAGAATCAATCTTCTTCCTGTTCCTAAAATTCAAGCATTTCCTCGGTTCCGGTTTAGGAAATGGACGAACACTCAAAATAATCTACATTAGGAATGTGTGGTTTGAATAAAAAATATTTGTGTTTGCAGAAGCACTGTCTAGTTAATCTTAGAAACCTCAAACACCTCAGATTGTCTATATCTGCTTGAGCTAGTGCAAAAGGTTATTCGGCGGCTGGGAGCCAACCAGCATCTTCAGTAGTGTTTTAGCCATTACACCACGCCGCCTCTGCATAGCTTTAGGAATTAAATAGCTATATGCTTTACATGGGTTTATGTTTAATCTTACAATCTTAAGAATGACAAACTTAAGTAAACCTAGAAACTTAAATTGTAAAATCAAACTTATTAAAAATAAACTTAAGCATACTTAAGAGAGATAAAAGATACAAACTTAAGTTTGTGAAAATAAAGTCTAGTAATAGTCTAGTACAAAGTCTAGTAAATCAAATAAACCTAAGATTGCAATAAACATTTTTTATCTTTTGTACAAAAACTTTCTTTTCCTTTGAACATTAGAAAAATTTTTATGTGTTTTTATAAATAAAAAATGTTCTCAGTTCTATCAAAAGAGAGTAATGTGATAAGTAAACGTGATATTTTTGTTCATAAATATTTTGTCTTTTCTTTTCACATTCGCTTTCAATCAATCTGCTCTTTTGAATCAATTTTTAATTAAAACACGCACATTTTCTTATAAAATTAATGTATAAGCTTAAACTTGAAAATTGCAAACTTAAAACTTGGAATTTAATTTTAATTAACCAACTTAAGTTTACTAAAACTTAAATTACAAACTTAAGTAAAAACTTAAAACTTATTTATCTACAACTATTTGTAGTTGTAAAGGAATAAGTTTTAAGCTTTGACTTAAGTTTTTGACTTTCAAGTTTGCTTGAAACTTAAAACTTAAAGCTTAAACTTAATAATTGCAAACTCAAAACTTGGAAGTTAATTATTAATTAACTTAAGTTTTATTAAAACTTGAATTACAAACTTAAGTCAAAAACTTAAAACTTATTTTTTACAACTACAAACTTGAAACTTAAAAAACTTAAATTATTCTTCTATAAATAATTATTTTTAAGTTTGTAAAATGTTATTAACTAACTTTAAATATTTTGCAAACTTGAACAGCAAAAATTCAGTTCAAGTTTTATTTCGTAATTTAAGCAAGGCTGCTTCTCAACAAAAGACCTCTCAACAAAAAACCTCTCAACATTATATTGAAAAAGAAGCAAAATATGGGGCTCACAATTACAAGCCTATACCTGTCGTTATTTCCCATGGAAAAGGTAAGGGAGAGATTTTACAATTTTTATTTTTAACTTAAAATTGTAATGAAGGTTGTAATGTTTGGGATGTTGACGGCAAAAGTTATTATGACTGTTTAAGTGGATATTCAGCTTTAAATCAAGGCCATTGCCATCCTCGTCTAGTTAAAGTTATGCAAGAGCAATGCCAATTGTTGACTTTAACATCACGCGCATTTTATACAAATGCTTTGGGGGAATATGCAGAATATTTGACTAAATTATTTGGATATCAAAAAATGATGCCTATGAATTCTGGTAAAAATAAATATAGTCGGACAGCATTATAAGATACCCCCAGAATTAGAAAAAGCTCAATTTAGGGTACCTATTTTTAAAATTTGGTTAGCCACTAGTTGAGGGATCTTCATAACCTATAATAACCCTCTCCTACCTCCCACTTTCCAAATACACCTCCAAATAAGAAGATATGATTCTTTCAGCTCCCCGAGGAGAGATGTGTTAGAAAGCTCTTAAAATGAAGTTCAAATGTATTTAATTTTTTAAAATTAAAAAATATATTAATAGGAGTGGAAGCAGTTGACACCGCAGTAAAATTAGCAAGAAAATGGGCTTATGAGTTTTTTAAACAAATTTAAATTTAAAAAATTTTTTTAATAGAGTTAAAGGAGTTCCTCCAAGCCAGGCAAAAATAGTTTTTGCAAGAGATAATTTTCATGGACGTTCTCTTATGGCTTGTTCGGCATCTACTGATCCCGATTGTTTTGAAAATTTTGGACCTTTTTTGCCAAACTTTTTGCATGTAGAATTTGACAGTTTGACAGAATTGGAGGTTCTCAGAGTTAAAAAATGTTTTTGACACTCAAAATAAATTAAGAAAGCACTTTCTGACCCTCACTGTGCTGCTTTTGTGGTAGAACCAATACAGGGGGAGGCAGGTGTTGTTATGCCCAGTGAAGGATATTTAAAAGGAGTTCGTGAACTATGCACAAAAAATCGTGTTTTAATGGTTGCTGATGAAGTACAGACTGGATTGGGGAGAACGGGAAGGTTGGAGGATAATTTCAGGATAATGGGCGTTAATTAGAATAAATCCTTTCCCCTTTCAGAATGCTCTGTTGTGATCATTACAATGTCAGACCAGATATAGTAACACTAGGCAAAGCCCTGTCTGGCGGTCTCTACCCAATTTCGGCAGTTTTGGCTGACGATGAAATTATGTTAACAATAAAACCAGGCCAACACGGGTCAACTTATGGAGGAAATCCTTTATCTGCAAAAATAGCAATAGAAGCATTAAAAATTATTAAAGAAGAAAATTTATGTGAAAATGCTTCAAAAATGGGAAATTTATTAATTAATGAATTGAATAAATTACCCAAAAATGTAGTCACTTCTGTTAGAGGGAAAGGACTTTTATGTGCTATTGTTATTAATGAATGTTAGAAAAAACTATTTTTCAATAAAAAAAATTATTTTAATTTTTAAGCAATAAATGCTTGGGATGTTTGCCTTAAATTAAAAGAAAATGGCCTTCTAGCTAAAAATACCCACAAACAAATTATTCGATTTGCACCTCCTTTGGTAAGCTAATATTGTCTTAGTCTTTAATTAGAATATTTTTTTAGGTTATTACCGAAAAACAAATACTTGAAGTATCACAAATAATAGGAAATACAATTAAACAATTTTTGTAATTCTGATTGAATTTTTATAATTTTTATTACAATCTTACAAAATCAAAATATATTTAATTATTGCTTTTGTAATTTTTGATTGTATAATTTTACAAATATAAAAATCAGAATACTTATATTTACAATCTTAATATTTAAAATATCAGAATTTTTAAAAAATCAGAATATTTGTTACAATCTTAAGTTGTAAAAATATCAGAATTAATAGAAAGGAAAAATCAGAATTTTTATTTGCGACTTAAGTTTGAGGATATCAGAATAAATAAATAAAAATCAGAATTTATTTTTTTTACAATTTTAATATTTATAATATCAGAATTAAAAAAAATCAGAATACAATTTGTAAACTTAAGTTTTAGGAATATCAGAATTAAATAAAAAGAAAAATCAGAATTTTTTAAACTTAAGTTTGCATATATCAGAATAAATTAAAAAATCAGAATTTTTTAAACTTAAGTTTGCATATATCAGAATAAATTAAAAAATCAGAATTTTTTAAACTTAAGTTTGCATATATCAGAATAAATTAAAAAATCAGAATTTTTTATTTGCAATCTTAAGTTTGAATATGTATGTCAGAATAAATAAGAAACAGAATATTATTTACAATCATAAGTTTTAAAAATATCAGAAAAATCAGAATAAATTAAAAAATCAGAATTTTTTATTTGCAATCTTAAGTTTGAATAAATCAGAATTAAATAGAAAAGAAGAATGCGTTTTACAAACTTAAGTTTTAAGAATATTTTATTTTAAGAATAAAATCAGAATTAATTTAGCCAACTGCATAGAATTAAAACTGAAATTTTAATAATTAAAAAATCAAAATTTATTTATTTTTATTAAATAAATCCCTTGATTTACTATATGTATTTTTATATGACCCCTTTCTGATCATAGGCGGAGAGGAATTATCTGATTAAATTTAAAAATTCATTTTAATTAAGCTTCCATTTATTTTTTTATTTTTTACCACACACAGAAATTACACTAAATTAGTTGTTTTTATAACAAATCACAGAATTTCCACTTCATTTTTAAATTAACACATTTTAATGGTTCATTTTTACTTGTAAAAAAATTTTTTTAATAAATACTAAATTTAATAATTTTACAAGTCCATGTCTTCTGGATTGTACGGACAACAATACTATATCGACAAAGAAGCAGAATATGGGGCTCACAATTATAGGCCTATACCTGTCGTTATTTCTCGAGGGAAAGGTAACAGAGAGATAAAATTTAAAAATTAGAATAAAGAAATTACACTAAATTAGTACCTCATTACAAGCAGAAAGAGGGTCGGAATTCCGATTTCCGGCTTTTGAGCTAGTTCCGATTTCCGGCTCTTCATATTTCTGATACCTCTGACTGTTCCGACCCACCTTTGATTATAAGAGAATTTTTCAGTCCCTAAGAGATATCTCCTCATGCTTCAATTTAGGTTGCTATCTTTGGGATACTGACGGAAAGATGTACTTTGATTGTATAAGTGGGCAATCTGTCCTAAATCAAGGCCATTGCCATCCTCGACTAGTTAAAGTTATGCAGGACCAATGTCAACAATTGACTTTAACATCACGCGCATTATATACAACTGCGTTGGGGGAATATGCAGAATATTTGACTAAATTATTTGGATATCAGAAAATGATGCCTATGAATTCTGGTAAAAATAAATACATATTTAAACCCTCGTTAGAAGCGAATCTCGTCAGAGGCGAATCAAAAAGAGGATTGAGGACAAGTCTCTTATAACAAGCTTTTGTCTACTTAGAAGTCGAATACTTTCGAAATCGAAGACAAGCTTTGATTTGTCTTAAGACGATAGCTAAATAAAAAGTCGCCAATAGCGGGAGTCGCTACTAAAATTAGTTTTTAATAAAATTGAAACTTAAGGAGTGGAAGCAGTCGATACAGCCGTAAAATTAGCAAGAAAATGGGCTTATGAGTTTTTTTAAGAAATTTAAAATTTAATTTCGAATTTTTTTAATAGAGTTAAAGGAGTTCCTCCAAACCAGGCGAAAATAATTTTTGCTAAAAATAATTTTCATGGACGTTCGATTTTTGCTTGTTCTGTGTCCACCGATCCTCAAGTTTATGAGAATTTTGGGCCTTTTATTCCTAATATATTACATGTGGAATTTAATGATTTGAATGCATTAGAGGTGATTTTTGCTGTGAAATAAATTTAAAATAATTTAAGAAAGCACTTTCTGACCCTCACTGTGCTGCTTTTGTGGTAGAGCCAATACAAGGGGAGGCAGGGGTTGTTATGCCTAGTGAAGGATATTTAAAAGGAGTACGTGAACTGTGCACAAAAAATCGAGTTTTAATGGTTGCTGATGAAGTACAGACTGGATTGGGGAGGACGGGAAGGTTGGTTAAGGTGGAAATTGGATTAGTCCTTTTCCCTCTTAGTGTCTGGGCCTTTCATCTAAACCAGGGGCGATCCCAAACTGCGGCCGAACCGCTAGATAGTTGGTCACAGTGGTCACAGCTTTAACAAATTTTTCCAAGTCCTAGTATCATTCGACTCATCAAGTCACGTCGAATGAGATATATAATAGTTTCTGACTCACCCATGAAAATAACATGCCCACGGGTATATCGAATAGGGGGAGTCCGGTGTATAAAGCTGAGGGGGACGGCAACAGAACTTTAAACGTCTAATGGAAGAATTTCTTTCCCCTTTCAGAATGCTCTGTTGTGATCATTACAATGTCAGACCAGATATAGTAACATTAGGCAAAGCCCTTTCTGGCGGTCTCTACCCAATTTCGGCAGTTTTGGCTGACGATGAAATTATGTTAACAATAAAACCAGGCCAACACGGGTCAACTTATGGAGGAAATCCTTTATCTGCAAAAATAGCAATAGAAGCATTAAAAATTATTAAAGAAGAAAATTTGTGTGAAAATGCTTTAAAAATGGGAAATTTATTAATTAACGAATTGAATAAATTACCCAAAAATGTTGTCAGTTCTGTTAGAGGGAAAGGACTTTTATGTGCTGTTGTTATTAATGAATGTTAGAGAATAATTTAGATTTTTAATACCGTCCATTATATAGAAGGGTTCACAAAATAGATGGTATTTTGGGTTATTTTCCCAGTTTATACATAGTCTTGTCGCTTATAGAGAGAAAACCATAGCGTCCATAAGATAGAAGGTCTCTTATACTGAGAGTCCATAAAATAGAGGACAGGACAGTCGTTTTTAGATAGAATTCGACAGTATCCACAAAAGGTCTCCCATATTGAGATCCATAATATAGAGGTCTACTAAAATTTTATTTTTAATTTCAGCAATCGATGCCTGGAAAATCTGTACTCGTTTGAAGGAAAAAGGTGTTTTGGCCAAAAATACCCACACCAAACAAATAATTCGTATAGCACCTCCATTGGTAAATTTATTAAAATTCTCGTTCAATATAAAATTAAATATTTTTTTAAAGATAATTAATGAAGAACAAATTAAAGAAATTGCAGGCATTATTAAAGAAACAATTGAATCGTTTAATTAATTGGAGGGATGTTTAAAAGAGAATTTAACATTAATTTAATATACCCAATTAATTCATAAATTAAAAGAAACCAGAATTTTAAAATCAGAATAAAAATTAATTATGATTTATAATGAAAAAATACAATCAGAATAAAATACAATTTTTAATTCTGAAATAAATTCTGAAATTAAAAACGAAATAAATTCTGAAATAAATTCTAAAATTAAAAAGGAAATAGCTCCCAGGTAACCCCTAACTTTTACATAGGAGAAGAAAAATAACAGAATAAAAATCAGAATAAAAAATTCTGAATTTTAAAAATAAAAATATGTATGTAAAACGACTAGAAAATTCAGAAAAAAAATTTCAGAAATTTTTTTTCTGACTAGAAAATAAATTAATTTTTTTAGTTATACCTCACTCTCTCCGTACATATTTAACAATAAGCATCTCCACTTCCACAGAGCTAAAAATTAAAAAATAAAATTTAAATAGCCTTAAAAACACCTACATGATAAAGCCTTTTTCTTTCAAAAATAGCTCTACTTCTCAATGATTTAATTAAAGTTTCTGCTGGGCATTGAATTAATGGGCAATCTGGGAAGTTTAAATGTTGGACGAGACCGGAATGACGATAAAACATCTAAATTGAAATTTTTAAAAATTTCAAACTCGGGAAAGATTTTTTGAAAATTCCAAGACAGAAGTGTCTAATTCCAGAAATTCTCAGACTCAAGCGTATTAATCGCAAAATTCGAGACTCAAACTGTGGTTTCCAAAAATTCGGCGCCCTAAGTGTCTAGTCAGTAGAGGTCGGTAAAATCGAGTTTGCGGAATTCAAAAAAAAGCGGGATTGCGGGAGGGGATCCCGCAAAAACCCGCCCAGGATCCCGTCCCGCACTGAGAGTCTAGAAAGACTAGCTCCAAAAAATTTCCATCCCAAGTGTCTTGTTTCAAAAAATAATAATTTAAAAATTTGTCCACCTCAATATGAAAGGTATCATTTTTCTTTAATATCTCCATACAAATGGTACTAGCATAAGGCACTAAATTATTAAATTTTTGACCCATAAGACTTAGAAGTGCCTTTATAAAGAATTAAAAAAAATTTTTTTAATTTAAATGAAGACTTGTAAAGTCCCATCATGTGAAGAATAAAGAACGGCCTTTTCTGCTTCGTTTGGAGATTTTGAATTTATTACCTTTTTTTAAATTAAACAGTAATTAAAAATGGAAAAGTCAAAAAGAAAAAAATTTTTTGAGACTCAAGTGGTCCTTGGGTGCTAAGAATGATGGTTCCTGGGAAATTTCCGGATATCCGGAACCGATATCCGAACCGAAATTTACGGATATCCGGGGTTTTTTTCGGTTTCGGATATACGGAACCGCCAACCTTATTGTGGTTGAAAAGTAAGCCAAAAATGCCTAATGGACTAACGGAGTGAGTGTACTTGAAATTTCTTTTTTTGGGTTAGAAAAATTATCCTTAGGTAGGACTATGATAGGAAATTTGGTCTAGACTCTCCTCGTGTCAAATCATCTTGAAAAAAATTCTTCCAAGATTAGCCCCTATTTATTTTACCTTCTCCGCCCTATTAATCCAATCTCCAAGTAAATAACCACCCATTAAATAAGCCATTTCTGGACGATTAAATTCATTTATACGTTCCAATCGTCTCAATTCGGTTACCTTTAAAATAATTCTTGAACTAAAAAAATATTCAGAAACACACACCAATTCTAAAGTACTCCAATTTCCATATTGAGGCCATCTACGTTCTACCCAGGCTGGTTGAGTTAAATTGTGGGCAATCTGGAAAGAGATAGAGAAATTTTTTAAAGGCTTATTTGAGCATTAGATATGTATCAGGGAATGTGCCGAAACAGATTTTAAAAAAAGCTAAAAACGAAAAGAGAGAATGCGAAAGTCCATGTAAAAAGCGAACGGTGAAAGTCAAAAAAAAAGGCAAAAATAGGCTAAATGCGAAACTGGCATATTTCTGATATGTAGAGTTCGAATTTTTGAAAAGCCGGTTACTAGGTTTGATTTATTGACACGGGCCTGTAGTCCAGGAAAAACCCAGAAAGGTTAAAAAATGCCTGGGCCTAGACTCTGGGTACAGGAAAAACACAGGCCTTGGTCCAGGCACCAGACACGGTCCAGGCCCAGTTCGATCTCTACTGATATGTATTGTCTCAGAAATTAATTTAAAGAAAAATTTGGACTCTGAGAAATTAAAAAATTTCAATTTAAAAAATTTTTTGTGGACATACGCCTCAAAATTCAAAAATCCAACTCGTAAAAATTGTGGACATTAGAGTTTCACAAGTAAAAATTTGTTAATCAAACTAGGGTTGCACCCCGAATCCTGAGGGCACGTTTTTCGGGGTGCGTTGGATATGATTGATTATGAATTGAAAAGTGTTCTGTCAATCATCCTCCATCGCACCCCGAAAAACGTGCCCTCAGGATTCGTGCCTCCGGATACCTACATGCTAGTGATGTTCGGGAGAAGAAAAAACTCGGGAATCGGGAAACGGGAGTCGGGTCGGGAAATGACCTCGGGAGTCGGGATCCTGGATACGCCATTGATGTTATGATCACTCTCGACAATCTAAAATCCTTTGTCCGCGCCGCAGGCAAAAATTTTCTTAAGTCGAAGGCTAAGAACCAGACTTCGTCCTTTATTTTTGAGAATTTCTAAGGTCGTAGGCCAAAAAACTTAAGAATTTAAGAAATTTCGAGAATTTAAGAAACTTCATCGAGGGAAGTCAAAAATATGTATACCCACAAGAACTAGTTCCAGAACTAGTTCCAAAGCTAGTTCCAGACATTTACTAGTTCCGTAGTTCTAGTTCTGGAACTGGAACTATAACTAATTAGTTCCGGAACTGGAACTCTGCCCACCACTGCTAAGAAGTCAGATATTTTTCATTTTCTGCGCCGCAGGCGAAAATTTTTGAAAATTCATGACTAACTTAATATTTCTGGAATTTTTTGACGTTTATAGTATTGAAAAAAATAACTTTAAAATTTTAAAATCAAAATCAATGTTAAAACCATTTATTTTTGGGTGGAAAAATTATTTAAAAACATTTACCAGCCCTGGATTCGAACCCAGCCCCAACAAAGCAACTGAAGTCACTCAACTTAACCACTCAACCACGTCTCAACAATAGTTATATGGGAAAAATTTAAATATTTTATTTTTCTTTCTCTTTTTTTTTATTTTTTTCTTTATTTTTTCCTTTCAAAAATAAAATTTTATGAGAAAAAGCCATTCTTAGGGGTGTAAAAATTTCCCGACTTAGTCGGGAATTGGCATCGGGAGTCGGGGTCGGGAGGCCAAAAACTCGGGAAATTTCCCGAGTCGGATGTCGGGAGTCGGGATACCCGAACATCACTACTACATGCCCTCCGGATACCCTAAATCAAACTTTTAATTATTATTTTCACACCTTTAAATTTTAATTAAAAAAATTAACTAAACTTGCCTCTCTATTTAAATTATTTAAAGAAGCAACTTGATGCAATGTTAGAGGCATTGTAGAATTAAAAACATTAATTTGTACAAATTCAAATAAATCTTTATATTTAATTTTTAATTCGTTTTCTAATTCTTTTTTTGTTGTTTTTTTAATTCCTTCATATGTGGGACATTCAAAACTTGTTGGCTTTAAAAGCTTAAAAAAGATTTTTAAAAATTTTTGGACATTAGAGTCTTAAAGATGGGAAGCCCTCAACTTATACCAATCTCTAACATATCCTTCCTTTACCTATATTCCAAACTCTCAGAGGTAATTCCAAGGCTGGTCCCCCTTTTTTTGTTCGCCTGACCATTTTGAGCTTTTTCTTGACATATAATTTTCAATATATCATTCGAAAGAGCTGTTCGAGCTGAGTAGAATGATACTATGATCGGTTCGATTTGGAAATTCTGAGCAGAATTACGAAGATTAAAACAAATGGTTATAGATCGACTCAGCTTAAAGAGCTCTTTCGAACGATGTATAATTTCCCATAAAAAGTTTAAAAAATCGAAAAAATGGAAAGGAAAAAAAGGGGGGACCAGCCTTGGAATTACCCTCTCAGATATCCCAGCCCTTAAAAAAAGAGAAAACGAAAGGTTGGGGATAAGTTGAAGACCCAACTATATCACTTGAGTCTCGGTCAAATTTTAACACATCACTCGTTGACCTAAATTATCCATACCCTACCTATATCTCATTTACTAGATATCCGCCAGTGTTTCAAAAAGAAACGAAAGCATTGGATACAAAAATAGAGATCCGACCAAGGTACTGCTTAAGTCTTGGTCAAAATTTGGTTTAACTCACCTCATTATTCGGCCCCGTAGAATGAACAGCAATAGGTAACCAATTTAAATTTGGGTCAAACTGATCGTCTGGATCTATAGCAGGATATAAACCGTGTAAAAGTGCTTGAGCAGAAACTAGTGCTCTCTTTGAATCTGATGATTGGACAAATACCTTTATAAAAATTAAAAAAAAATAGACTCCAACCTTTAACATCCTAAATACTCCAACCCGAAAAATATCTCTCCACTACATAAATTCCAGGCTCCCAGATATCCCACCCATAAGAGGGAGAAAAATTTTGGACAGCAGTCTGAAAAATTAAAATCTTATGAAGGTAAATGAAGGAATGCCCAAATTAAACAGGTTATTAATTGGAAATATGAAAGTGTAGTCAGTGTCACATTCAAATTGTCAAATGTCATCTAATCCCAGAAATTTTTTCAATTTTCTACCTCATCAGGGTCATAACTGGAACTCAAAAAAGGCCAATCCTCAACATAACGTTGTCTAAAAAATTGACCAAGTTCGTTCATTTGTCTCATTCCTAACTACAATAAAATTATTTTTAAATAAAAATTTCTCTTAAAAACAAACATTTGTTAGCTGATTCCAACCTCTAGGCCAAAAACTTTCGTCATACGGATCACCTGGATATGGAAGTTTACTTGGTCCCTTGAAAATAATAAATTTAAATTTAATTTTTTTGGTCAAAAATGTTTTTAAAAAATTTATTCTAGCCCTCTCGAATGTTGAAAAAAAAATTTTCCAGAAAATTTTAAAAATCACTCCAAACTTAAGGTGTGCGCAAAAATATTTTTTGTAAGCCAAAAACGCAAAACGCCAAAAGTTGCGTTATTTCACCCCACAAAAAATAATTTTTGCGCACACCCAAATTTTAATAATTTTTTTAAATTTTACCCTATCTCCATGTCTCCAAATGCACTGAAGAAAAGCTATTTCCTTTTTAGCCAAAAATAAAGGTAAAAAATGTATAAATAAAAAAATAATAAAATTAATAAGGTAAGAGTGCATTCACTGAATAGAAAAAAAATTTTTTCTTAATTAAATTTAAGAAATAAAAATTTATTTTTAAGTATTTATTTATTTAAAATGAATGAACAAACATTTTCTTTAATTTATTTCACAATTATTTTTAAAAGCAAAAAATATCAAGTGTGCGCGAAAAATATTTTTTGAGGAGACAAAAACGCAAAACGCCAAAATTTGCGTTATTCCACCCAATAAAAAATATTTTTGCGCACACCCGAAAATTTGCTTTTAAAAAGAATTGTTATCAGAAACAAAAAAATTTATTTTATTTATTTTATTCCTTTTTTTAATTACATAGGTAAATAATAAAGAATAAAAATTACTAGAGAGATTAAAAAATAGAGAAAATCGGATTAAAATACACATCTTTATTTTATGATTGATTTATTTCGAAAAATTTTTAATTTTAAATTCAACGAGTCAATAAAATTAAATTGGATATGGAGGGCATTTTACCGTCTTTACAATTCACCGTCAATGTATAAAAGGTGGAACGGCCAATGTTTCAAGTTCCCAGAACTTTAGCCGTGCAAAAAAACGGTCTGGAACCATGGGGAACCTCCTAGGCCATGGAAAATTTGGAAAAGTGGTTCAGGACGAAAATAACCTCTGGCCAAGAAAAAACGTCAAAAATTGTCAGAAATTGAAAATAGTGTTAAGAGACGGCGAACTGTACCGAGTATTTTTCTTAAATACTAAACATAATTTTAAAGAAAATCTAAAAAATTAAATGGGCATATAAAAATAACATTTTTAGAATCTCAAAAAAATAAAGAATAATTTTTTTTTACTTAAATATGTCAAAAGCAAAAATGAATGTTTTATGTGTGTTTATATAAGTATAATATATTTAAATATTTTTTTAAATCTGACTATTATTTTTGGTGTAAAAATAATTTTAAAAAATTAAAAGAATTTTAGGAGGTTAAAGAAAGGAAAGGAATGGTTTAAAATGTTTAGGCGAAGTTTAAGGTTCGCTAAGAAAAAGTCAAAGAGTCATCCCTCAAAGAAGAGTTAAGTCGATAGAACACAATGAACGTGTAATGACTCATCATGTCACAATAAACTCATCAAACAATAACACCGCCAGGTGTCCAAACTTTTGTCTTAGTATTTAGAATTTAAAAAATTTGCAATAAAATTTTTTTTGAAGAAGGAGGAATCAAAAAATTAGAAAATTTTAGCCACTCCCCCCTCTAATCAAACTAAAAAAGCAAAATAAAATTATTTTTGGGATTCCAAAAATTTTTTGGAAGGGGTTCTACGTCTTTTATAGTTCAATTAATATTTTAAAAATATTGAAATTTTTATTTCAAAATTTTGAAATCTCCCCTTTTACAACCCAAAATAATAGTCAGACTTTAAATTTCAAAAAATTAAAAGAAAAAAACCTTCACAAAACACAATTCATTCGACTCCTTCAAATAGCTTTATAAACCAAGTAAAGCAAAGAGAACATTAAAACAACAAAAACAACCAAAAGCACCAAACGGTTTTGGATAACTCTTTGAAAAAATTTTTCAAATTTTTTAAAATTAAAAAAACCTTCGTATCATTTGCGAAACAATTCGATTACTTCGTCCCAAATCAGAATTAGCTTCTCTCATACGGTCACGATTACGTGTCAAAGTCTCTCTTTGAAGGCTTAAATTGCCCAAAACTTGTTCTCCAATCTGAATAAAAATTTTTTTAAAGATGATGAATTAACAAAAGTCTTTAAAGTTAATGGGAATGACTAGAAAAAATTGCCTACAATCTTGATAATGAAGAAAAATCAGTCGATGTCCCTGCAATGTGCCATTGTCCCAGGAATCCCTTTTTTGGAACCCGTACCTCTAAAAACTTGAAACCCCCTCGTAAACGTTCTATTATTTTTAAAATGGGGCATGGTAGTTTAGATTCTTAAACTTCAATGAAATTTTATCCTTTTAAAGACTTTATAAGCACAATGCTAAATCTCTAACACAGGAGCTCTAATTTTATTAATCGAAATAATAGAATTTGGCCCTATACGGAAGTAGGGGTCGAATAGGTTTTCCTTCAATTTTTCCTTTCTTTCTTAAAAAATATATAAACAGAAAAAAAACCTGCTCAGTTTCAATAGTAATTCTCTCGCAGTTTTGCAACTTTCTCGCTCCAGCATCCAAACGTTCCGTATTTTCAATTAATTTGTCTTGCTTAAAAATTTTCTTTTTATCTCAATAAAATCATTAAAAACCTGATCAACATTTACAGAAGCATCATTAAAAGCCAAAAGTTCGTCTCTATCAGCAACATTACGAATACGGTCCACAGCTTTTCGAAGCTCTGCTTCCAACTGTTTCTTGTCACTTTTATAGCTTTTAACACGCAAATCGTATTTAGAACGGTCTGGGCTTCAAATAAAAAAATTTTTTTCTTTATTGAAATTTAAAAATAAAATTTTTATGACTTTAATAACGCTAAAACATGTCAAAATATATTCGAAATCGACTAAAGGGCTCGAACCCACGACCCATTCCAAGTTAAAGTCAAGACCACTCCCAACTTAGCCAAACATCAACACAATTAAAACTTTTTAGAAATAGACTAAATACAAACTTGCTAGGCTCAATTTCACGAACACTCAATTCCATTTGTTCAAGAAGATCCTCAACATCCATTAAAAGCTTTTTAATCTCATTAGAAGCAGAAGGGACTTCTGAAGGAGGCAATTGCTGAAGTTGTCCAATTTTTGCAGTAATTTCTGAAATTGAGAAACTGAAATTTTGAAAATTGTTGGAATTCAAAATTAACAGAATTTTAGAGGGGGAGGGGCTTAAAATAAAAAATTTAAAGGAAGGGGGAGGCTCACAATCATATAAGAAAAATCGGAGTACCCAAACAATACCCTTAATAAACAAAAATTTTCTCAAAAACAAACCTGCAGTATTAATAGAATATCGCTGCTCAAAATCATTAAGTAAAGCTGTCATTGTTGAAGTCATCTTTGAGGACTAAAACAAGTAAATTACCAAAATATTATTTAAATTCAATTTGTAAAATATAAGATTACTTGAAAAATCCACAAGTTAAAAAATCAAAAAAAATTTTTATAAACCAATTTTATAACGAAAAAAACACAAAAAATTTCCATTTTAATATCTTCTAAAGCTAGAATATGCTCTATTCTTTTCACACAATCTATGCAATTCTTGTTTGGCTTGAATTGTATAACCTTCATTGTTCATTGCGGCAATGAGTTCGTGAGCTAATAGAGTCTAAAAATTGAAAAAATCTTTTTTCCTTTATCTTCTTACTAGGGGGGAAATAATGCTAGATGGGAGAGTTTCTTATGAGCGCGAATTAGAAATCTATGTGGTGTCTTTAAATTCGATTCCGGATCTTTAAAATTTTGGTTAGTGATTAAAAACAAGTCTATCTAAAACGAAAAAAGGCAAAAATAAAGAAAAGAAATGTCTATCCCGGAACAGATTTTCCCATCCAAACAAATTTAAAAAAATTTTTCAAGAAAATTAAAAACCCAAATTAACAATAAAAGAATATATACCCTAAATCGATTCTGTCCATGTTTGCATTTTTCTCTCAAAATTGTTCTCATCATTTTAAGTGCCCGGAAGATTGAGTAATGCTCACTAATTGGATAAGGAACTTGATAGACTGTCCCGGCTTTAAAAAAATAATTTTTAAAAATTTTCTAAAAAAAGAAACAAACTTCTCCCAACAGGTCTAAGTTCCATTATTGGCCTACAATTCAAAATTGCCAAGCTGGCCACTTGAAAAGGGTCTAGAACTATTTTTGCCTTCTTCTTTTCGTCTTTCTCGTCCAACCATTTTCTAAAATAAAATTTTTACAAAATTTTAAGATTAAAAAATTTTCCAAACTTGTATTGAACTCTTTTAATAATTTCCAAAGCCCCATAAATCTCCGTACGAATTAATTGTTTTTTGCCTTTAACCATCATAATGTTGACCATCCTGTCGACAATTTCATTTCTAAAAAAATTTTCTCATAAAAATATTATAAAAAACAAACCTATAAAAAACGGGCGTCTTGTTAGACTCCATTTGTTTTGGGTACAAATAACGCCTTGGATCATCTTCAGGCAATGGATTGTTAAGCTGAAAATATTTCAATATTATAAACTGAAAAATAAGGGGATTGCCCAAAACAGGGTCACCCAAAAGGATTCAATTTTGGCATAAAAAACTAGGCTCCTATTACGCAAAAAAAATATGGGAACCAACAAATTCTCAACCAACAATTTCCAAAGCCCAAATCCCATTCAAAAACTCAACAACCTGTTCAATACTAACAATTGGATCACACCATTGATTTGGATTAAAGACTGAGTGTTTACTACCAGTTGTGCTCAACAAACGGCTCCCAAAATAAGTGGTAGATAAGCACCTCAAATTTCGTCTAATAAATGGAAAACTCATCTAAAAGGGCTAAAAATTATAATTTAAAGACAAAATCAAAAAATAAATGTTTAAGGCAAACTCCCCATAAAAATTAAAATATAGACAAATAGTTAGTAAAATATTTATTTAAAATTTTTTTTTAGAAATTCATATAAAAAAATAAATTAGTATAAAAATATGCCAGTAAAAAATTTTTAATTGAAAAAATAAAAATTTTCCTAAAAAACATTAACACCAAAAAATCTCCTCAATCCCTCTTTCTCTCAAATTTTTTACTGGCTAGTTGAATTAGACAAAAAAACCCGCTATCTGTTATATAAGTATAAAATTATTGTATATAGGTAAATACACAGATTGAGCGGAAAAAATTTAAAAGAATGGCTACACTTTAAGTTTTGCGGACAAATTTTGCGGACATATTTGTAATGTCTTTAATCGACTATATTGATTGAATGACCCATAAACAAAGGAAAAGGACCCATTAAACAAAAGTTGGATTGAATAAATAAAACTTGTTAATTATATTTAACCCCAATAAACGTATGTACAGGAAAACGTAAACAAGGCTCCAAAAACTAATGCAAGCGGGACTGCCTGAGACAGCAGCTTTAACAAGGACACCCGAAAGATTTAAACCCAGAAATATGTCCAAAAAGAGTCAACAAAACTTTCAGGGAAAACCAAAAATATAAAGCTATACAGCAAAAAGTTTGTACAACTTAAAAATATAAAAAAGAAATTAAGTTAATGCTTTCCATCGCCTTCAACGAAAAAATACACGTTTTTGAGGTAGAAGTCACAAACGTAAAACAACCAAAAAATTCTAATATTGTGATTTTGTAGAATGATCATTTGGAGCATAAAAGTTTCTTTGTTGTGGCTTAATAGCCCCAGAATCAACACGTCCATCAGAAGTAAAATGACCATAAGGAAGAATAGCTTAAAAAATAGGTTTAAAACAAATATTCCTTAAAATATTAGCTAATTGTAAGTTATCGAAAAATATTCCCCTCCCCCTTCAAATATTAGTAACCCAGATAAATTTTTGATTAGAGAAAATAATATAAACCTTTAGACTCCTCATACTGTTTTGGATTAACAGAACAAGCAACTGCACTGGGATTGTGTGATTGGGAACTTTGAAATCTAAAATTATAAAAATATAATAAGTTAAAATCAAAAAGCATACGGAAGAGAACCAGATTTGAAAAAATACATAAACAATCCAGTTGCTCCACCAACTATGGTTCCAATAGAGATCACACGCTGAATGACACCGCCTAAATGCGAGTTGATCCCAGCCAATTTTCCATCAATCCCGATGAATTTTGAGTCCATAACCTTTAAAGTAGCCTTCATATCTATAAGATCTTCTTTAACTTCGGATTTAAATTTGTTTAAATCTTCTTTAACTTCTGATTTGAATAATTTGAAAGTGTTTGTCATTTCCGACTTAAAAACAGAGTTATCCGATCGGATAACCGCAAATTCAGCTTTTTGCTCTGCTTTTAAGACGTGGATCTCCGACTTTAAAGTTGTATTCATTTCTTTATGTGCCGCTTCCAGGCTCACGATTTTGTTGTTCGTCTCCTTCTGTGCTGCTTCTAAGTTATCAATTCGAGAATTCAATTCGCCACGAAATGATTTTAATTCAGAAGAGAGCAAATCAAACGATTTTTTAAAATCGTGTCGTTCACTAGTCTAAATAAGCAAATAATCTTCAATAAAATCTTCTAAAAATATAACGTACCTCAGTGGAAATAAAAGCCTTAGATACGTGTGAGTTGAGATTACGTTGGAAAAGCATCTTGGTTACGGAAACAACCATTTTAGTTAGATGTATATAGAAAAAAATTGAATATAGAGATTGAGCAACTTAAAAATAATTTATAGTTTAATCACGAAAACTTAAAGAAAATAAAAAAAATGAATGCGGTAAAATGAAGGTTTGCAAAAGTAAAAACACACGGGGCGGGCTAAACGAAACTCTAACCGTCTCGCAACGAATAAAAATTGATTGAAAATTCAACACGCTCTCTCGCCTCATACTCTTTTTATTTTCCCGCTCTCTTATTTATCTACACTCTTCTCTTTTAAAGGTTCAAATATTGATTTTTGTTAATTGTATTTTAGAGGACTAATTATTAGTAGGTTTGGTAGATCGAACGTGAGGGAAAACTCCCCGAAATCCAAAACACCTTCCAGACAAAACACCGACCGACAAACCACCGTCTTACCAAAACACCGTCCAAAGAAAAAATGATGCATTTCCAATAGGTTGGGAACACTTTGGCGCGAGGAATGCTGATGTGCAACGGGGGATACCTTAAATCTCCGGTTCGATTCCTGAAAATAGAGAAGCTTGTTCCAACAATACTTTGCGGACAGTGAGTTGTCAGTCGGTGAGTTAGCCTAACATGGATTTAACAACAATCGACTTAATGTAAGAGAAACAAATAAATAGAGAATACATTAGATATAACAAAAAAAAATTTGGAAAGCGATTCTAATTCTTCATTCATGATTCACACGGTTCTTGTTTGAATGATTTCGTTCCTTTGTAAGCACCACTAAAAATATAGAAAAAATTAATTCGTTTAAAATGTTTCTCAAAGCAAAATTTAATCAAATAAACTTTATCAACTTATTTAAGTTTGTAAATTTATCTGACTAGAGAAATGCTTAATTAAAGTTTGTAAACTTAATTTTACAAGTTAAGGTTATTTAAGAACTTGAAAATTATTTGTAAAGTTTGTCAGGTTTTTAAGTTTACAAACTTAAGTTAGCAAATTTATTTCTTATAAACTTATAATTAAGCTTAAGCTTAAACTTTCAAGTTTGTTCTTATAAATTAAGCTTAAACTTACATTTTCAAGTTTATTTTTAAAAAACATAATTAAGCTTAAACTTCCAAGTTTGTTATTTATAAACTTATAATTAAGCTTAAGCTTGCACTTTCAAGTTTATTTAATAAAAACCCCTTACATTCGTTTCCTTCGTCGCCTTTTTTGACTAAGATATGCAGCAAGTTTTGTTGCAACACTTTCCAATTCATCCAAAGAAATGCTAGAATCACTGTCTTCAGCGTCATCTCTACCAATTATTCCACAAGAATCATCTGATAATTCTTCAATTTCTTCTACATCCTCATTTAAAATAATTTCTTCATTGCTATTTTGTTGAATTGTTTCACCTTAAATTTTATGTAAAGTGTCAGGTAAATTATGGGAAAAATTTGAATTAGAAACGCTTAATCAAAAATAGTTTTTCGAAAAAAATTTAAGGCGTAGACACTAAGAGCCAGGGAGTCGATTTCGGGAATGTCCCAAAAGCCCCCCTGGTAGACACAATATGTTTTTGTAAACTAGTGAACATCAAGGGCGTAGCCAGAGGGTCGATTTCGGGGGGGGGGGGGGCTAACACTGGGTGTGCGCAAAATTTTTGGCGTTTACCTTGGCGTTCTGGGCCCAAATTTTTTTGAACCATATGTTTATTTTTTTCAGCGCCGCAGGCGAAAATTTTTTGAATTTTGGAGCTCAGAAGCCAGATTTCTTCCATTTTAAGCGCCGCAGGCGAAAATTTTTAAAATTATGAAGGCCGTAGGCCAAAAAAATTCACTTTTTTGCTAATTCTTCCCCTAATTTTTCTCCCCTTTCTCCCATTTCGGGGGGGGGGGGGGGCTTTAGCCCCAGAAGCCCCCCCCCCTTGGCTACGCCCTTGGTGAACATATATACAATTTTATTTTACATTCCCAGGAATTAAGCTCCATCTCCTATTTTGTTGACTCTGGAAGTCTATCGAAAAGTTTTTTGATGAAATTTTTGCTTTTTCCCCATTATTTTTCATTTTATAAAGAAATAATCATAAATTAAAAAAAACCTTTAACAGCTACCAGAGCCAAACGATGTTTTGTTGTTTTAACATGATCAATTAAATTGCTTTTTCGTTTGGTAGAGTAACTTGTTTTACAATAAATACAAAAAGCAAGCTTCTTTCCTTCTTTGGATTTCACGAAGCAATTTGTGGGACCAAACGTCTCATCTTCATTAAAAGTGGACCGGCCTTTATTCTTCTCGTTTTCTAAAAATTTCCTAAAAATTTCCAAAAAATTAAAAAAAAACCTTTATAATTCTGCTTATTCAAAACATGTTTTTGCAAATCTAAATGCCTTTCTCTGCGTACTAGTCGAAAGTGTTCTTTACAATAAATACAATAACACAAATCTTTGAATGTTTTTTTGAGTTCAAGATAACGACTAAAAGATTCTTCCTTGCCAAGAGATGATGTAGATACTAAAAATATTTTTATTAAAATAATTTTTTTAATTCTCGGATTGACAGAAACTCTACAAAAAAACGAACTCATTTTAACATTGGGACTGAAGAAATTAAATCGCATCTAACAATGAGGGATAGCTTTAAAATAAAAGATAAGCGATTCACAACAAAAATTTCAACTAATAGCCAGCAAAATTTTTAGGTAATAGTTCGGTTCATATACCCCATCCTTTTTCCTTCCTAAAATTATTCAAAAAAGGTCAGTCAACTCTATCAACTCTTGTTTAATTACGTTGATTTTGATGTCATTCAAATCAGCTCGACAAGCCCTTTCGATGAGCTTTATTTGATTAATCGAATTTTTAGCCCAAAAATTAGCTTGCCCCCTGTAGTCGACCTAAAGTTAAGACCGGGGATCAATTTTGGTGTCATTCGACTTATTGTTAGCTCGACGAGTTCTGTAACCTAACAGTAAGACTGACTGACCATTTTTTAATACTTTTAGGAGGGAAAAAGGATGGGGTATACGAACCGATTTTGAATTGAGAAGAAAATTTTTGGGTGTATATCTAAAATTGAGGGCCTTCCCATTTATGAGGATAAAAAATGCAGACAAGTCCAAATCCAACTCTCAAAAAACGAAATTTATTTGCCCTAAAAGGTTTTAAAGTTCAAAAAACTCTTACTAATGTCATCATCTTCACTTTCTTCAGATGACGATGAAGATTCTTCTTCCGCAACTTTAACAACTAATCCAACAGATTTTCTACGATTGAGTTGAATATTAGAGAGGCGATGTTTATTGGCACTTTTTAGAAGTGAATTTTTGATTTTTGCTGAAAAAAAATATTTTTAAAATTTATTTTAAAAACTAGATAAAGTAAAGTAAATATTTTAAAAAATTTTGTCCGCAAAATTTTTGCGGACAAAATTTCCGTCCGCAAATCTTTTGCGGACAAATTTTCTCAATCTTAAAATAATCAAATAAACCTCCAGTCTGCGCATTCTGATGTGCTAAAGATAACATATGTGGCCAGAGAACCCTTTTCAAATTAATCAGATCCTTCTTACAATCAATACAATAAACATATTTCTTCCCAAGAGAGCTAGCAGTGTAACAACCATCATTTGGGCAATTTACGGGGTATGGATTATCATTCTTTTGATTTTTACTTTTGTCAGATTCTGAAATTTTTTTGAAGGATTTTATTTATTAGAAAGCTCATAAGCATTAAAATTTATTGTCAGCAAAATTTAAAAATTTGCGGACATAATTTTTGTCCGCAAGAATTTTGCGGACAAAATATTTTATTCAGTTTCTTCCTTCTTTTCGGATTCTTTGAAACTAACCCAACCTCTCCATCTAGTAAAAAATCCGATGTCAAAAAAATCAAACGAGGAAGAAAAGAGAAATCAACCGAAAAGAAGATCGAATTAAGGATTCCTACTCCCTTTATTCTCCAAAAAAATAAATTTCAAAAAAACCTTCATGAGCCTGTTTCAAAACTAAATGTCTTTTCGTCTTCAAATGTCTATCAGTACGGGCATAAATACAATTTAAATTACAATAAATACATCTATAAGTATCCTCATCAAAATCACATTTTTCAAAGTCTGGAGGAGGTTCTTTTAAAAATTTTAAGGTTTCCTTTAAATAAATTCAAATAAACCTGGCCTTTTATAAAATTCTTCTTCTGTATTATCAATGGATTCAGCAGCATCTTCAAATAAAGCGTCCAAATCATTTTCGTTTAAATATGTTTCAGGTTCCTCCTCATTGTCAGGTTCCTCCTTTTGAATATTTTTACGTCGCCCCGGTCTTTTTGGAGGCGGCGGGGGATTAAATTTATTTTTAATTGGAATAAGCTGCTTTTTTGGTTTTTTAGAATTTCCAACCATGGCCCTTTAAAAAAATTTAAAAATTTAAAACAAATTTAAAATTTAATTTCCCCACGAAAATTCAACGGGCGACGACAATTTGGAGATGAAACATACTTGTCTTTTTAATAAAAAGGGTCGTTTCATTGCTGAGTTTTCATCGCCGGGTACAGCCCAAGTAGGCGCATGGCCATAACGGCGCAAAGCCATAACTTGCTTCAGAATTTCCAAATCTTACCAAATTTGGTATTAAACGATTCCTTTAATCGAACTAAAGAGATTGGTATAAAATTGTTAAGGGATAGTAATTTTCCAGCAAGTTATGGCTTTGCGCCGTTATTGGCGTGCGCCCAGCATGTCCCTTCATCGCAAACTTCGGATTTTTCATTTTTTGAAGTTTTTTAAAAAATTTTCAGAAGATAAAATGGTTCGATTTTCTAAGCCAATGCAAAATAAAGCTTCTAGTCGTCATAAGAAAGAGGAAAATAAAATTGCTTATCCATCTCAAAATAAAAATTTCAACAAAAATTTTAAAAGGAATGGGAAGCAATCAATTTTGGATGATTTGAGTGAGCAGGATATGGATTCTGATGACAGTTTTGGGGATTCTGATGAATTTGATGAAGGTGTGGGATTTTCCGATGAAGAACTTGAAGATGAGGAAGAGGAAGGAGAAGAGGATGAAGGAAGTGGGGAAGAGGAAGAGAATGAAGAGTTGAAAGAAATTAAAGGGAAGAAAGGAGATCCGGAGGGTGTCGACGAAGATGAAGAAGAGGAAGGTGATGAACTGGAAGTTGGGGAGGAGGATGAATTGGAAGGTGAAGAAGAAGAGGAGGGAGAAGAAGATGAAAAGATGAGTAAAATCAAAGTGAAGGAGGGAGGTGTCGATGGTGTCGATGAAGAAGAAGAGGATGAAGAAAATGAAGGTGATGAATTGGAGGATGAGGAGGAGGATGAATTGGAAGATGAAGATGATGTTTCTGAAAAGGATTCGACTAAAGGCGAAGTCATTAAATTCACTGGGTTTAAAAATGAGGATCAAATGTCTGATGAGGATGATGAAATGGAAAGTGACCACTCTTCTGAAGAAGATGAAGAGAATGAAACAAAGAAAGCTTCTAGACGGTTTTTTTAAATTAATATTTAAATTTAAGCTTTGTTTTAAGAGAAAAAGTTAAAATGAGGAGAGCGGCTATAAAAGCGTCTGAATCTAGAACTGTTTTTGTTGGAAATGCGCCGGTGAAAACGCAACAGAGAGAACTTCGAAAATTGTTTAAGTTCGTTTTTTTGATTTTCAAAATTTTTGGTTGGATGCCGTGTTGGTCTAAATGTTTTTTCGTTTTTTGTCCGCAAAAATTTTTTTTGTCCGCAAATTTTGTCCGCAAAAATTTTTTTGCGGATTTTTCCAATTTATTAATAAAAATTTTTTCCTTTAATTTTCAAGGACTTTTGGCGAAATTGAAGCAGTCTATCAAAGAACTCATCTTCAAATGACCGAAAAAATGACAAAGATGATGATGAGCAAGTATCCGGAAATATCAGATCGATTAACTTCCACAAATTTTTATATTCGCTATGTGAAGGATGAACATGCGGAGAATGCAGTTAGGGCAATGAATGGTACAAGATTAAATGGGCATGTTCTTAGAGTGACTGTTGGTGCAAAAAAGGATGTTGATCACAGAAGGTTCGGAAATAAAATTTTATTTTGGCTCACAGCAGCTTATGAGTCCAATCGCACTTTTGCTGGTAGAAACAATGCTAACTATCCGCAGCTAGAGATATTTTTATGAATTTGAGTCTGAGTTTTGTGCAGCAAGCTTTTCAACTATGAAGAAAACTCATACTCAAATGCCTGAAAATATCTCTAGCTGCAGGTAGTTAGCATTGTTTCTACCAGCATTTATGAGTCAATTCAAAATGTTTGGGTTTTTCTTTGTGTTTCAAAGTTGAGGTATGGTTCCAAAACATTTCTTTGGGTTCGGGAACGCCCAATGGGTCTGGGGCCGTTCCTTGCTATGTTTCGAGAAATTCTGGAAAGTTATAGCCAATTTTTAAAAATTTCGGAGAAACAATTATAGCTTCCCGAAATTTGAGGAATAGGGAAAGGAACAGTCTTAGACCCAGTGTGTGTAAGTCTTGCATATGAAGAAATGGTTTGGGGTCATACCCCACCTTTGCAACACCAAGAAAAATCGAATTCTTTTTTGATTGGACTCATAAAGATTGATTGGACTCAAAGTCAAGTAGTGGCTATTTTTTCAAGCGAATTTTTTGAAAAATTTTATTTTTTTGATTTTTTTCCTAAAGTTTTCAAATAAATTTTTGAAGTCCACTTTATATTTCTTGCATATTTTTCAACAAATTTTCAGGTCAATTTTTGTTGGAAATATTCCCCATACAACACTAGACGAATCAGTTCGAGCTTATTTCTCTACTTGTGGCAAAATTTCTGCTCTACGTTTACTTCGAGATAAACAGACAGGATTGGTTAGAGGATCTGGTTTTGTTGAATTTGTTGAGTCTGATTCTGTCCAAAAAGCGTTGGAATTGAATAATTTGCCTTTTGAAGGAAGAAAATTGAGAATATCGAAAGTTTATAAAAAGAATAAGGTTTTTCTTTGAAATTTTTTTTGTTTAAAAATTTTTTTAAGTTGGAAAAGATTTCAATTAAAAATGAGAAGAAAAGGGAGAATTTGAAGAGAAAAATGCCTAAGGTGCCTAAAGGAGCTGAAAAGTAAGGAAATTTTTTTTTTAATTTTATTTTAAACTGGGGGAATTTAAATCAAGAGATCTGAGCGTCCGTACTAACGATATTTTTCGTTATTTATCGATATTTTGATTAGTAGTACGTACGGAATACGGGACTTAGCAAATTTCGGTCACTAATTTAAAGGGGTAATTTTTGGAAAATTTGCATATTTTTGATTAGTGGTAATTTAAATAGAGAGATCGGATCGTGCCGTACTACTAACGGTATTTTTCTGTATTTATCAAAGTTCCGATTTGTAGTACGATACGGAATAGGTTCTATGAAAATTTCGGTCTTTAATTTAAAGGAGAAAATTAAGAAAAAATTTTTTTTGATTAATTAAATTTTTTTCAAGTTTTATGGTTCTCAAAAGAGGAAGATTCGAGGGAAATGACATTTTCAACAGGAATAAAAATAAATTTAAGGAAGAGAATAAATTAAATAATAAAGCCAATAAAGAAGAAGAAAATATTAAAAAAGAAAAGAAATTTAATAAAAATAAAATTGTGGACAATAAAATTAAAAAGGGTAAAAATTTAGTTTTAAAGAAACAAAAAAGTGGAGGATTGAAGGGAAATAAGAAAAGAAAAAGTTTAATTATTTAAATTGAAATTTGTTTTTAAAATTTTGTTTATTGTTATATTCTTAAAATATTTTTTATAAATTTATTTTATTTGTTTTTTAAATTAATTTTAGTAGGGTTTTTAACTTTAGGTAAGAATTAAACTTATTCTTGCATAAGTTCCTTATTCTTAGCTTAAGTTTGTAAACTTAAGTTTTCAAGTTTAGGCTTTAAATAAACTTTATCTTATATTCAAGTTTATTTAAAAATTCCAAGTTTTTAATTGTTTAAGGGAAATTAAAGTTTGTATACTTAAGTTTTTGAGTATGAACTTTATTTTATGTTCAAGTTTATTTATTCTATTCTAAATTTTTAATTGGTTAAAGGAAATTAAAGTTTGTAAACTTAAGTTTTCTTCAAGTTTTAATTTTATTATCTGCTCAAGTTTATTTAAAATAGGTTGTAAACTTAAGTTTTCAAGTTTTAATTTTTGTATTTTTTAGTCAAGTCTATTTAAAAATTTAAAGTTCTTCCCCAAATTTATATTTTTAAGTTTATAAACTTTTTCCTTTGAGATCTCTCGATACATATTATTAATTTCTCAAAATTATCTCTAAAGATTTTATATGTTCTACTGCAGCTCTCAACAATTTTAGTTTGGAAACACGTCTTTTCCTTCCTCTCATTTGTGGCAAACATGCACGTAGCATTAAAAATGCCTTAAATTGAAAAAAAATTTTTTCAAAAATTTTTTTTGAATTTTTAAGGGGTTCGGATTTTCAAAAAATCTAAGAAAAATTTTTTTCTAAATACCCCAACTTACCTTGTTAACATAAACAACACGTTCTCTTTCACGTATATTTTTTAAATGTGCTCTCCTCAGTTTGCGATGATCTGTTATTTTCATTTTTAAATAGAAAAGGAGAGAAAAAAAAATTAATTTTAAGCCAGGAGAAAATTCAAGTTTGTAATCTTAATAAACTTGGAAAACGCTTTTAAGCTTATTATTAATAAAACTTGTTTTGCAGGTGTGCGCTTTCTTTCCAATAAAATTTTACCTTTCCTTCTCAAACTTATTATTTTGCCAAGTTTGAGAGCCCCATAAAAAGGCAATTAAATAAAACCAAAAATGCCAATACTTTTATTAATTTTATTACAAAAAATATTTTTGAGGGGAATTGTAAAATCGAGGGAAAATATTTAAAAATTACGGAAAATTAAAATTTTTTTTAAAATCCTTGAATCGAGTTAAGCAAAATTAAAGACATCCCTTTAATCTTTTCAATCCGTTCTCTTCAATCCCAAAATTCTCAGTCAGGGGGGTAACTGATTGTGAGTCCGACTGTACTCCATGCAGTTTCTCTATTTCACTGTAGAGGTATTATTAAGAGATATTCGTGCTCATCTCAATCCATTTTCCTTGTAGTGTCTACAAAAGTAAGAGCGAGGTAAAAGTTTAATTCCGGGCAATCTTCGATCTTGCGACCTCCTGGCAGTTATTGCTAGGCGCTTCCGCTCACCACGTACAGGAGCTCTACCAATTGAGCTACCGGGACGCTGCCTTCACCTTTCTTAAACCCCCGACTAGTGAGCGTTTTAAATGCAAGCCAGGTGGATCTTTCTCTTCCTTACACTAACGAGTGTTGCTCTAAAGTTGTTGATTTTATAAGTTTACAAAATTTAAATTAAAAAATAATTTTATAAGGTACTATGCGTGTATATGCCCACACGTCCGCAAATGTTCGTCCGCACTTTTTTTCCTTTTCCTTCTTTCTTCTCTCTCAGGGATTAGAAATGGTCAATTATTCATAAACCACAATTTTTCTTGTCTTCTCCTTCTTTTCTCCTCTCATTTTTACTAATTTATTAAGATTAGAGGTCAAGAATTTGGCACCCTTTACTTATATGCCCTTTGTTCTCCGTGGTCGAAACAGAACAAGTATGGCATCATTCGAAAGAGTTCTGAAAGATTAGTCGAGCTAGTGGTGGCTGAAGTTGGAACCGAGATATAGGACTCGAAATGGTCAAAAACCATAGGGGGAGTAAAAACCATAGTATTAGTTAGCTTTATTCGATGATTGAACAAAATTATGACCAACTGAATTTTCGTTGCAACAACCTCCGAAATAATTTTTAAACATTGAATTATTTTTAGTTGACCATTTTATGTAATCAAAATGAGAGGAGAAAAGGAGGAGAAGACCATTTCTAATCCCTGTGAAAGGAGGAGAAGGAAAAGGAAAAAAAGTGCGGACAAACATTTGCGGACGTGTGGGCATATAAACGCATAGTACCTTTTATAATTTCCTTCTATTTTCCCATTATTTTTTCTGACCCCTCCCTTTAATCCCATCAATTTATCTTCTCATGTGCCCTTTATTCATAAAAAATAACGAAAAAATTTATTCGGCTAATTTTTCTCTGTAATATTATCCCCTTCCCAGTCACTCCTTCAATAGCCACATATCCTTTTCTTTTTTTTGTTGATTGGCCTTTTTGACCGGTCAGTAGAAGAATGCTTGAAGGAAAGAGATATGCTCTCCGTTCTATTTTTAAGCACTCAAAGTCGGCTTTCTCTGTAAATTAATATTTTTAAAAAAATATTTATTTTGGAAATTTTTTGATGGAATACCGCTCCCTTTTAGACACAACAGAAAAATACTTGAATGGACTCTGAGTGGGCACGTGAGGAATTTTTTTAGATGAAAGAGAATAGAAAGAAAATTTTCGTGAATGCCATTAACTGATTAAATTACCTTTAATAAAAGGTTAAAAGAGAATTTAAGAAAGTTTCAAAGGAAAAATCGTTTAAAATAGTGTAGCAGGCAGAGCCTTTGGGATCGGGGTGTTTCACTAAAAATCCCTATGTTATTTTTTTCAAGGATGGTGTCGGCCGAGCATAAAGTGTTCTGATGTTTTGAACGTAGACGATTTTGGTTGTTTTAAATATAAAGTTAAAGATCATAAGAGAACATGCAAATTCTTAATTTTTAACATTTGGCCCCGCCATGGGACACGCACGGTTATAAAACATTCGAAACTCGGGCACACATCTTGGAAACAATCCAATTTACCAAAACTAAAAAACAATTCTAAACAACAATTTATTTACAAACTAATACACGACTACAAACGACACAAAGAATAGGGAATGCAAACAATATATAGGGACACAACAAAGTAACAATATACAGAATATCTCATTTTTATATCTCAAGCGTCACCTTCAGAACTTCCGGGCATACAATTTACACCATACTTCTCTTATCATCAATACTGGCCCCGGGAAGCAATGGCTTATCGACGACTCTCTTTGACTCCCCATATTCAATCGCAGTTGTTGTTCCATCGATCACTTCGAACGGATTGATTTTCTTTTCCTGAAATATACAAATGATTAGTTGACATTCAAAAAATTATTTTTCACCTTTTTCCAATCCTGGAAACTCCCAACGCCATCATATCCCTTTTTAGTCAATTCCGGAGCATATTCGCGATCGTAGATCTCTTTGTCCCTATGCTTCACAAACTCGTCTAAGAGGAACTGCAACTTGTCTTTGATCTTATCCTTCTTTGCCCTATTCCACATTGCAACGGCCAATGTTTCAATCGGAACGCAATTGAATAGTGACCCCAAATCGTCCAACTTTTTCTGAAAAAATTGGGGAAATAATTTTAGTGAATAGGTAGTTATAATTTCTAAACTTACTTCTTCCTTCCATGCCGCAAATGTCTTGATCTTCTCCCCAACTTGTGGTTCAGCTGAGTACACACCATACAGGTACTGCTCATACTTGGTACAGGTCATACATTCTTTTTCGCAACTGTGTTTTCTCTTCTTCCAGGACCGTGCGAACCATGCCAAGATTCCAATGATGATTAAGCCTTCAATAATAGCGGCAACCAAAATCAGATAAAACAGCCATCCTTTGGATTCCTCCGGATACTTGCTGTCCGCTGGATACTTTGTCGATGGTGATGAGATGTTTTTGACCGCAGATGTTGAAGTCTCTGGAGTTGGAGACTGAACTGGATTCAAAGGACAAGGAGCACACGTTGTAGCCGCTGGTTCAGTCGGACAGATGTTTGATGTCGGTGTAGTTGTCGTCGTTGTCTGTGGCGGAGGAGAGACAAACAGCAGTTCGTAGTATGTTCTGTCCTAAATTTAATAAATTTAATGAGGTTTTTCAAAAAAAAAGAAACTCACAAATTGGATGAAGAGATCACAATGCGGCCCGGGTGGTGGTTTACCCGCGAGGTTTTCACCATCAAATACAACAGACGCATTCAATGGAAGCAGGCTGAAGACGAGATATTCGCCTTTCAGATCCTTGTCTGTGATGGTCCATGTTTTCGGTTCAGCAATGGGCTTGCCCCCTAAAACGCAAGCAATATCCACATGATTATTGAATGTCTTCTGTCCGTCAAACTCCATCGTGAATTCACTTGCGCTCTTTAACGTCATGTTGAAAACGAGTATATATTCATCTTTTATAAGCCTTCTAGACTGCTTTATGCCCGGCTCAGCATCGCCAACTAAAATCAGAAAAATAAAAAAATTATTTTGTAATTATTGATATTATATATTTTTTTACCTAAACGTGTGTAAGCATAAACATCAGCACCTTTTTTGCTCCATGAGATTTCGAGAGGCGTCCACTGCAAGCACTTTCCTCCGCATCCACTTTTGCATCCTCCGTTGGGATTTCCGTTGAACTTCGTTGAACCTTTGCTGAGCTCTTGGATGACCTCATTGTTTTGGCTGTAGACGAACGGCATACTAAAAGGCTGAAATCAAATCTTTTCGTTGAATTCAAAACCTACATATTGTTAAAGCTATGCTGTACACTGCCACCAACATCAAGACATTTGAGCCCCATTCTTTTGTTCCTCACTCCAGCTGTGAACTTGATCTTGTTGTTGTAGCCTTTGTTCTTGCTGAGCAAGTCCACATTGCATCCCGTGCTGTTGTAGTCGTACCGAACTTCACTGAAATAAGGAATAATTTTGCCTTTAAAAATTTTTACAAGGAAAAAAGCAACATACATGGTTTTGCTGTCGATCTTAACATCACATGCATTCGGGAAGCGCTTCCTGTACTCATCGGAGTTGAAGTTTGCCTCGTTAGCCTCGATGGTGTAGTTGACGAGAGTAACCTTATTGTTAATCAATTTGTGATTGGCGACTCCGACGCTTCCGTCATTGTTGGACTGTCCGGGTACTTCAAGCACGAAGAATGTTGCGATGACGAGCAGCAGCAAGGAGCACAGCGTTGACGACTTCCTTGTTCCAGTGCCGGTGTCTAGTTGCATTGGAAGAAGGCAGCGGACCAGCATGGAGAGTGTTGTTGTTGTTTTTAACGTAGAGATGTGAAGACTTTTTGTAAAAGTTGTGTGAACAAAGAGAAAGTGGAGGCTTTTATAATACAAAAAAATTTATAAGAACTTAACCGCTATACTATAAAAACTTGTAAGCCTCTAAGCATTCTATCACATGGTCTTCTGTTTTCGCTGCCGCTGTTGTTTGGTTCAAACTCGCTTATTTGCAAGGATGGCAATGCCGTTTTATCGTTTTGGACGTCCCATAGTGAACAGGCTCAAACACCTCTTGGATCGCTGCATTTTGAACTTCCCAGAAAGGACTACCTCAACTTGGCAAGCTGCTCGCAATAAAAAGTCAAAAAAGAAAAACAAAAGGAGGCTTTACAACCGTCGTGGAAGACACAACGTGACAAGCTCTAGTAAGTTTATTCAAATGGGTACAGCCCAAAACGGCGCGCGGCCATAACGGCGCAAAGCTATAACTTGGTGGAAAATGTCTGGCTCTTAACAATTTTGGTACCAATCTCCTCAGCTCGATGAGAGGACTCGTTTAGTACTAAATTTGACAAGATTAGGTTATCTTGAAATGAGTTATGGCTTTGCGCCGTTACGACCGCGCGCCGATCTTGGGCGTGTCTCGTTCAAATATCCTTCGCTTTCTAACTATAAATTTAACAAATTTTAGCGGGAAGCACAACTGTTACCACCACCACCACTTCTTCGTCTTCTAGCACACATTACGAAAATATTCCAACTTTTTCGTCATCATCGTCAAATAATGCTCATCGAAGACCTTTGCCAATCAACGACGGTGTCTATTCCTTAATGAGACTTGGCGATTTAGTACGTGTGAGAAATCCAGAAGATGGTGTATCTGTTCCGAATACAGATGAAGACTACTATTATATAAGCAGCAATAGTGGGGAGGAAGATGGTGAGAGTCCTTAAAAGTGGTCTATAAACAATAATAGTCTTCCTTCTTTTAAGATCAACAAGAGGTGACTACTGCTATTGAGTACGTGCCGTCCTGTCCAGGTCCTCATATGAAGCAAGCTGTCAGTAATGTACGCAGATTGTCTTCTGTACGGCAAACAAAGTCGTGTGGAGACTTGCCCAATTTGTTGAATGTGGAGGATGACAATTCTTATGGTAGGGAGGAGAAAACCTTTGTTTGATAACTTAAGACTCAAATTTAGGTGAATATGAGGACGAAGAGAACGGGACAACCAACAACTATTCGAGTAGTTATTCAAACGATGCAGACGTGTCTTCATCTTGTGACGAAGAGGAGGAGGATGATTTCTATTCTACTCGTAGCTGGGAAAGTTATGGTGATTTTAAGCTGATTAACTCAAAAACTCGTTCAATTTCTAGATCACTCTTCTTGCTCCGAATCTGTTTCATATTCGTCTTACTCGGAAGAAAGCAATGTCAGCTTCTCTACATCTTCTGCCACAACAGCTTTCTCGCTTGTTGGCAAAACTGTTCGTGTTGTTTCATTCAAACAGTCAAATATGCGACTTAATCCTGAGAATATTCAAGAGTCTAATGTAACCGAGGTGGCAAGATCTTCACAACACATAGACGAGTCGTCTTCACAAGATGAGTATTTTATGGCAACAAATGAACTGTCGTCCAATTCGTCGGAAATGTATTACTCTGATGCAGTCTCTGAAGAAAAGGTGGTAGATTCCATTAAATAAACTTGAAAATAAACTTAAGTTTACAAACTTAAAAAATATTCAAGTTTATGCGAATCAAGTTTGAATTTGAAATTCTGAAATGACAAACTTAATAAACTTGAAAAAAAGTTTTAAGAGCAACTTAAGTTTGCAAACTTAAAAATAATCAAGTTTGAACTTGAAATTCTGAGGACAAACTTAATAAACTTTAAGGTAACTTAAGTTTGCAAACTTAAAAATATTTAAGTTTGAACTTGAAATTCTTAAATGACAAACTTAATAAACTTGGAAATAATGTTTTAAGAGAAACTTAAGTTTACAAACTTAAAAAAATAAAAACTTGGTAATTAACCAACCTTATTTTAATTATTAGGTGCCCAGATTAATGCCAGAATACAACCTATACAGTACGCAGCAAGAATTCCGAAATTGTGCCGTTGAAGCTTGCAATATGAACACATTTCTACAACTGATTGAATGTTCATTTCCTCAGGAATGGTTCGAAAAATAATTTTTAATTTTCAAATTTTTCTTTTTTTTTCAAGCTCTGAACAGATTCTAAACAACTTATTCTTCGATTATCGTCAACTAGTATGTCAAAAAATGTGGGAAGAGGAACAACAACAAAAGCAACAAAAAGAGGAAATGAATGAAAGTAATGAGACTGATTGTGAAAATGAAAAATTGGATGATGAGAATGATGATTATTTTTGGTCATAAAGAAGGGATATATTGAAGGGATATATGAAGGATATGTCAAATAAATATGTTTTGTACATGAATAAATTAGATAAATTTTCTGAGATTGTCTTTCTTGTTCGTCCATTTTCTACTAACATTTTGTATTGTTATTGTAAATTTGGATGGTAAAAAATGTGTTGTTAATTTTTGAAAGTTCGCTTTCAAACTAGAAGGCTTTTCTATAATTTAAAAATCTTTTTCTAGTAACCCTTTTCAAGTTTGTAAACTTAAGTTTTATTTTTACTATAATTCAAGTTCACGAAGTTAGTCAAGTCTATTTTTGTTCAACAATCCTTTAGATGAATTTTTAGCATATGTAGTTCAAATCGGGGTAATTGCGAGCTCGGAATATTTTAAATATTGGATAGCTTAAATATGGTCTATCAAGACCAGAAGAATTTTGGAATTACGTTTGAGAGATTTGTTGTCACTTCATAACTGATGAAGGTTAAGAGAATTTAAGAAAATTCATTATTGATGAAATGACGTTACATCCTCTAATATTCCCCTAATAGTATAGTACAAGTGGTTCATTAAACAAATTATGGCATGTCTGAATCCTTGAGAGATTTGACTAATAACATGTACCCTCAATCCCTTCACACTACCCATTGTTCCCTACGCATTACTCTTCCTCCAAAAAATTATTTTGAATAAATCCAATAAATTTTACAAGTTTTTTTCTGATTCATTCATTTTCTCACTTTATTTATGTCTTTATGGCCATAAAATTTGTGTAAAAAAAGAAAAAAATTCTTCCCAATGAAGAGCTCTAAAATTGGTTATTTAGTAGTTACACACTCTTCCTTTTGTTTATTTGTCTATTTTTCAAAAAAATTTTTTCTGGACTTCTGGCTCACAAAAAAAATTTATTTTTATATTTTCTTTTCTAAATATTCTCCTTCTTCTATTACCCCCTTGTTTCCTTTTTTCTTTTAAAAAATTTATTTATTTTGTATATCCATGTGTTTTTATACTTGCTTGCTAGGAATGGGTTAACAAATTGTTTGAGGGAGTGAATTGGAAAAACTGAAAGAAACTGAAAAGTGATGACCAGAAGTTTGAGAATAAAATTATTTGGGAAAAGTTTCAAGTGTTTTGATGAGAAATTTAAAAAAATTTCAAAAAAACAATTTTCCACCCACTCAAAACAGGACGTTTCAGTGCGCGGCTTATAACTCCTTAATAGGTGGGCTTTTTGAAACAATTTAAATTAAAATAGATAGAGAATTAAATTTTCTATAAAATAAGCTGTATAAAAAAGCTGGAAAAATTCTAAATAGCAATGAATCAGGCAAAAAAATTTTTTCAGTCTAAAGCCCTTATTCATGATTATCAGAGCATGCGTCCCTATAGCCTATAAGAACTCATCCCAAAAATGGCAAAAAATGATGAGAATTGATCTGAGAGTTCTCCAACGTATTGTTGTCTAACCACACAACCACCCCATCATCTACAGATCGTTTTTATTTTTTGCTTTTTGAAAGGCTGGGAGTAGGTTTGTCGGTTCTGGACCGGAACGAAGAAACGATGATTTTTCGGTTCGGGTATCGGGTCGGTTCCGGATATCCGAAGATTTACCAAGAACCGACAACCTTAGCTGACAAGAAACACCTCAGAAGATAAATTTTACTTTAATTTGGGATCATTTCTGGTTCACACAACTACCACTATTTATTCAATTACACAATTAAAAGACGTAAAGACTAGGATCAAAAAAATTTTTTTAAGGCGGTTTTTCCTGTAAGACATTTCATCCCAAGCATCCACTCTTTTATTTTTTAAGGATCTAAAGAGAGAACCTACAAAAACTGAATGAGTGTATTTTTCAGCGAATAAGGAAAATGCGCGTCTGGCGAAGAAAAAAATTGTTTGAAGGGGCGTGGTAGTTGAGTAATAAACACTCTCTCCCCCAATTCACATCCATAAATCTACCGTTGCTGAATTTTAGAAATTGAACATTTTTTAATTTTATAAATTTTTTTATTATTGACTTAATTGATTAAAAAAATTTTTTTTGAAATTTTCTGGAGCTGTGCGGTCATATGATCCAACGATTTTTTGTTGGTATTAAAGTAACTTGAGTTGGTCCATAAAACAATAACCACTAGGCTTTTACCTTTTCTCAATTCAAGAAAAAAATTTTTTTAATTGTAAATTCTCATCAAGTCCCCTTTCATTTACTAGACTTGTATGACTAACCAAATTCTTTTAAAAATGCCGCGTGAAAACGTGCAGTATCATTAAAGGAATGTGAATAAGAATAAAACAATTAAAATACAAAAATCACACTCTACCAAAAATATTTTTTTAATTCATTTACATTAATTAAAATATAGTTAGCAGATTTTTTAGTAGGCCACTGGGCACGGGAACTCCCTAGGTGATGCACTCTAATTAACATCATACCTTAGCGATACCTTCTATTTAAGAAACACCCCATTATAAGGTACAATAAGATAGTCTCTTATACTGAGAAGTACCTCTATTTAATGTACACCTCTATTTAAGCTATTTACTGTAAACCTCATTATAAGGCCCCAAGGGTATCTTATGCCTTTAATAAAATCAACATTTTAAAAATTATTCACT